CTTCCTTTTCATCTGATCAATATTGAGTCAACGCTTCATCTGCCATTTTCTTCTCTAATTTTAAATTGTGATACACAGTCACCAGCTTCTCAGCACTAGAGGTCTTCAGTCGATTTCTGGATTTTGAATGTATGATTTCCCCAAGTTGAAAAACGTTCTTCCATACATGAAGTAGTACATATAGTGTTAAAAGAATTACTGCCACTGTAGCTAGAGTACAAAATGGACCCCACCCTTTCAATCATGATGAAGTAGCAAACTGTCTTGATTGAGCTGCTGGGATTGTACTCCATATTGTTCTACGACTGAACGAGCTGCTTCTTCTTTTATAATTTGCTACTTCCATCAGAATTTTGTTCGCTTGGAGATCTTTTAAAATTTGCAACAGTCACTACAAGATCACAAACTGAATCAAATTCATCATCAGAAAGGTCTTGGTCCTGGGACCGTGGCTCAAGAAGGTAGGCAGCATTACGCGGAGGGATTTTTTTCAATCCTATTACTTTGGGTATTATCTTTTTCTCTTCTGCTTTGTAAGTGGACTGTTCGGTATTCTCACAAATGTTTCTTAACCTTTAGGAGCTTATTCTCGGCATCAGACAATGTAGAACGATCATTTTTCTATATTCTGAATGGATTGAGTTTTGCATCCAAAAGATCTCATCAAGAATGTCAGTGCGGATTACTCAGGAGCAATACCCAGCCACCCCTTTTGGAACAGCAGCTGATTGCTAGAAGACTGTTAGTATCTGAAGATTTTTGAGACATTTAATAGAAGATGCCCCTTAAGTATGACAAGGCTTACTTAGTGTAGATAAATTGAGTGCTGTAGTAAATACACCTCTACCCTGATATAACACTGTCCTCGGGAGCCAAAAAAATCTTACTGTGTTATAGGTGAAACCGCGTTATATTGAACTTGCTTTGATCCGCCGGAGTGCGCAGCCCGCCCCCTGGGAGCACTGTTTTACCGCGTTATATCCAAATTCGTGTTCTATCGGGTCGCGTTATATCAGGGTAGAGGTGTAATGCTAAAAAATGACTGCTGGAATTTTGGCTTTTAAAAAACAAAAAACTTGTCTGTTTTTTCTCTCCTGACATGATGAGAAAGTTGTCAGATATTGAACATCGCTAACAGAAAGCTGCATTACACGGGCTGCATGTCTGTAACATAAAAGATGTGGATACTCATTTATCAATAAAGCCCAAGCAGCTTTCATATTAGTGTCATCATAACCTTCCATGGACCCAATTTGTTGTTTTTAAACTGGTCAGCAATATATTGGGCTGTGTGTTGATGCTTAGGTGTGCATTGGGATGGGTAAAATGCTGATTGTGAAGTTTATTATGAAGTTGAAAACACCCTCATTGCGATTAGTGCTCCAGCCATCATGGATGTGAGGACCTTGACCAGTAAAAATGCCAACTCTTTTTGGTCCACTTTGGCATTCAGAAGACATTCTGCAAACCATACTTTGTAAATTGGATACTGCTTGTGGAAAAAATTCTAGCATATAAGGATTTTAAACTATATGAAATGGCGGGTGTGTTGCTGGCATAAATACCTCTAGCATACATATGGTCAAGTTTGTGTTTCTGGCCATGGGACATTCCATGCAAAAAAAATCTCTTGATCCCAATTTGATGGACATCTGAAGGCTTTCCAGGAGTAAGGAGTTTTCAATGCTGAAGCAGATGGAGTAGTAAAATTCTTATTAGAAGAAATGGAATTAGCTTCACTTCCGTTGTCATTCATATCACTATCTTCAGCAAAAGACTCCGTGCTTCATGATGCTGCTGCCAAAGATGAAGTTAGAGGAGGATGCAAAGAAGAAAGCAAATTTTGTTCCAGACTGGTTTTCCCTTTCTTTCTGTTTGAGTGCAATAATCTAGTTTTGACAATAGGTCGACAAACATCACAAGAATTCAACAAGTGTTTCTCCATTCTATCTACGTGTCACGCTTTCAGAAGAACAGAACTTGCACTTAGCTTGAACAGTTTTTCCATACAAATGATTTTGGCTTTCCTTGACTGTATAATTTATTATGTCACTGTTAATGTCTCACTACTTCTGGAATACTCTCTAGATTATGAAGTATCTCTCATATTTCAATCATCAGTAGCCACTCAGTTTGTTTTCTAACTTCTGGTATTGCAGAAAATTCCAGCCCATCAAAATGTTTTTGGGCATGCTGCCCCCCTCCCCAGGACCTTTGCAGACTCCCAGATCACATGGAGGGTGAGGTGGAGAGGCGGCGACTCCTTTCTGCAGCAAATACAATGGATTCTTAAGCAGGCTCAGGAGGAGGAACAGAGCAGAAAAGGAGGAGCCTTTATACTCAGTGCAAAGCACAGAAGAAAAATAAGGCATACACAGAATCACAAAAATATTGCTAAAATTCTCGCAGTTGTCACAGCATTGATGGCCTAGTACAAATATTGTATGTATATCTTTGTTTGTATGCTAGAAGATTGCAGCCAATCAAGATGCTCAACTTTCAATTGATTCTCCTTTTTCTCCAAAAGGTGACATTAGTATATGAGAGAGACAAGGTGGGTGAGGTAATATCTTTTATTGGACCACCCACTTTGTCTCGCTAACGTCCTGGGACCAGCACGGCTACAACAACACTGCATACATTCATATATAGTAAAGTGAATGATCAAGATATTTAAGTAGACTTGCTAACAGATGGCACGACCATGCTGTCAAAAAGTAGGCTGCTGCCTATATCAGGCCATTCTTGCTGGAATACTTGACAATATTTGACCATGATCAAATAGGCAGTCAGTTGATATTATTTGACTGGTCAATTGGGCCAGCTTACAAAGCCTACATCAGACTTTCCAAAGAGTTAAAATGTTATTAGTGGAATTTTGTAGGTTATATTTAAATAAGTTGTAAATTATTGTATCTAATTGTTATGATTATAGACTAAGAAATAGGTTGATAGCACAGGTCATTGTTTAAGTGGGTATATTAGGACATCAGAGAGTTCAACCAAGACCCCATGTCTTCAGCAATTCCCAGGCCACAGAATTTGCTACAGAATCCAAGTTTGTATTCTTAAAAGAATGTTTTCTATCCCATAGAATTTTTTTTTCTGGAAAAAGTGGGGGGGGGGTGCTCAGGCAAGATTACAACATGTACAGTAAATATCCTTTATTGTTTTTATATCCTTATCATTTATCTTTCCCTTCCCCCTCCCCCCCCCGGGTCTGTATTTTTTGCTAGGGTTCAGTGCATCTAGGACCTGAGTGTGGTGTAAGAGGTCAGGGTTTAAATTACTTAGATGCTTTTGAAAATCCAGATCCTCCAGCATAATGTGGCCATTTGGACTGCACTGCTTGCAGATTCTGGCTGCCATGCTGATGTGCCTGCCCCTGGAGAATCACCCTGATGGAAAGAGGCTCCTTTGGTATAGAGATTCCTCCACTTCCTTGTTCTCTCCCCCTTTCTCTGCTGCCAGTGCAGTGTGTGTAGTCTTAAAGTATTAACCAAACAAATACCATAAGAAGCTTGCTGCCTGGACACCTTAGTTTAAGAGTGAGCTTGTAGAAGCCTAAAGGACAATAGTTGGTTAAATATGAGGGTAGGAAACCATCCTATGGGAACAAAATGGTCCTTTTTTCAAATGACATTGGGTGTCCTTGCTGCACCGCAATCTGAGGAGGAACATTCATTACAATATCTGCAAAGATTAAATGTTTTATGAAAGGATGAATGTGCTTGGACATGCAGTATGGTAAATAGTCAATCTTAATGTTTGCTAAAGAATTTTTGAGCTGGAAGCTCAAAAGAACTGTCATTTCCACTAAATGTTTTAATCTTGGGAATAGTCTGATTCTGAGGTTCTCAAACTTCATTGCACCGCAGCCCCCTTCTGACCAGAAAAAATTACTATGTGACCCCAGGAAGGGGGACTGAAGCCTGAGCCTTGCCCCGGGTGGGGGGGCAAAGCCCAGGCCCAAGGACTTTAGCACTGGGCGGGGGGACTGTAACCTGAGCTCTGCCACTCAGGGCTAGGGCTGAAGCCGAAGCCTGAGCCCCACCGCCCAGGGCTGAAGCCCTTGGGCTTCGGCACCGGATGGTGGGGCTTGGGCTTTGCCCTGGGCGGTGAGGCTCGGGCTTCAACCCCGGGCCCCAGCAAGTCTAACACCAGCCCTGGTGACCCCATTAAAACACGGTCGTGACCCACTTTGGTGTCCCAACCCACAGTTTGAGAACCGCTGGTCTGGCTCTTAGAGAAAACGCCATTCTGCATTTTAGCCTTGGCATATGTACTTCATGATAAACAAAGAGATGGCTTTGCAAATAGTGTCATGTGCAGCTTATCAGGAAATCTAGATTTCTCTGGCTACTTGAGTCTACAAGGAACATAGGGGTGACTGCCAATCTATGAAAATACAATGTATACGAATTTTTGACAGTGAAAGTGATGTAAGCTCTTTAGGGCTGGGGCTGTCTCTGTGTTTATATAGGGCCCAGCACAATGGAGTTCCAATTCTGACGGGGCTTCTGAACACTACTACAATAACATTAGATTTAACTAAATTTTGTCTAGAGTTAACTACAACTACTTTACATGGGCTCCCTAAAATGTGCCTTACAAGAACTTTAGACTTTTTAAAAAAGTTAGAAAATTGGGGAATTTCAGAGTTAAAGTTGCATTTCATGAAGAAGTGCTTCCCTGTATTAATTCACTGGGGAAGCAAGGGTTCGTATGCACATGGATGGACTGAGTGCATATTTCCTCTAAAGAGTGTTGGAATTAAAAATGAACATTAGGAAACATTATGGGCGTTTAGAGTTCAGGTTGTACTTCTTAAATAAGACAATCGATGTATAGCTTTTTCTAAAAATCACTTATTAAATTTTATAAAACAAACAGCCATATCTCAAGTGACATATAGAACAAAGTTTATAGTTTAGAATCATTAACATAAATATGAAACATTCACAACTGGCCATTCTAATATACTAGAATGCATGACCATCATGTACTCCAAATACAATACAGAATTTGTAGGTGTACATGGCATTTTACAAAAAAAGTCAGTCGCTGTCTTGAAAAATTTAGTTGAACTTGAATATTGTAGATATAACAATTCAAATGGAAGGAAATGTGAGACATCTGTGACGAGATCATATTTATTGAACTATAATCCATTGAGGCCTGTACTTCTTAGAAGTAATTTTAAATCACAAAATTAAGATTCTTTTAGGTATTAAACATACATATTAAGTGTAAATTATTATTTGTAAAAATCTTAAATAGGAAGCCTACAGATCTGGAAAACTTTATAACTGTTCTTTTATATCTATTCTGTGAAGTAGGTCATACCTCACAACTCTTAGAATTAACTAACTGTTTGTTAATTTTACTCAAAATTGAGTGTTAATTTGACTATTTAGCTTCTGTTTATAGTAATCCTTAACTTGAAGTAAAAGGAAGTATTAGAAAATGTGGAAGCTCTCAAACTGTCCTAATTGACTTAGAGGTTCATTTTTACTTGATCTGCATTTAAATTATGCTTTTTGTTTCTTCTTTAAAGAATAAAGGTTCACTTCAGTTTGAAGACAAATGGGATTTCATGCGCCCCATTGTTCTGAAGCTGTTACGCCAGGAATCTGTCACAAAACAGCAGTGGTTTGATCTGTTTTCGTAAGTGATTTTTTTTTTTTAACTTCTAGTTCTTTGGTAACAGGATGGAAATAAAATTATAATATTGCTTATAACGTAGAAGTCAGATGTAGGAGGGCCATGTAGAAATGGATGCATTTACAAGATAAAAGAGAACAAAAAATACTGGTTAATTCCGTTTCATTAAATAGTAACACTGCTTCTCTTGAGTACAGTTTTGTAGAGTTGGTGTTTTACTGAGACACAGGCCTCCACAAATAGAACACAAAAAACAGCACAGCTTTCTTATTGTTTTTACAATTTTGTTCTACTTCAGCTGAAGACGATAGGCTTCTTTTGTACCCTCCCGCAAACCTTTCACTCTAATTGGAAATGGGGACTAGATATTTTGTAGTGCTTTGACAGTAAAGTCTGCATATGTGACCAATCACTTCATACAGTATTACTCTGACAATAAATGCATATGACTTACAAGTGGTTTAGCTTTAAGCTGATTGTGGCGTGTCCTTCAAAAATGAAATAATAATGCAATTTTACTGATATAATTGGAGTAATTGTATACTTTTAAACATAACCCTTAAACGATTTTTTTCCTGACACTGATTGCAGCATTATACTTCTAGCTTTTTTTATTATTATTATTTCAGTTTCACTATGATACAAGGAGTAGATAATAAACCTTCCATTATATAAATCAGGCCATCTCTGCTCTGTCAGCTGAAATTATAAATGACTTATGATAGATCAAAAATTAAGATTGAGCTTGGGGAGGCCCTGTTTTAATTGCAAAGTTCTAAAATTATTGGTTCCAGCAGGGATATCTTGCACCAGCTCCTGCAATGGAACATAGGCATCTTCTGACATTCCAGCTACTGGTTCCTTTCTGACCCTGATCATGGAACAGTGTGGTCTCAAATGGGTGAAGAGTATTCAAAGATCTAGCCCTTGTCTGCATGGGAAATTTGCACTGGTTTAACTTTAATTGGCTTTTAAACTGATATAGTTAAACCCTGCTTAGACACTCTTAAGCTGAAAAAAAACCCACTTCTTTAAAGAAATAAGTGTGTTTACACAGGGGTTTGCATCAGTGTAACTATATTGGTGTAAACCCACTCCTTAGAGTATACAATACAACTTTCCCATGTAGACATGGCTGTAGTATCCCAAAAGGTGGTAATGAAGCAAAGTGATGCTTGACATAGCATGTTTTACGTGACCCATGATGATGTAACTGAGGGCATAATTTACCTGCAGAATCTCTATTATTAGTGGTGAGAAGGAAAGAGCCCAGATTGACTCTTAAAGGCCAGGTTGAGTTTGCTGGACTAGCAATTAGGAAAAAAAGAATGTTTATGTTCCTATGGATCAAATTTGTTATGGAATTAGTGATGCAATAGTGCCATTTTTGGTTCCTTTCCAGAGGAGAACCACACTTTTAAAAGCCACCCATGCCATGGAACATTTCTTGACTAAACTGACAAAAGTGCCTCTTGAGGTCCCTGATTATCTGTAAGCTCAAATTTCTTACAAGGAAGGTCAATTTCCGGGCAATAGTGATTCAGCTTGCTGAACAAGTGAGCTTCAAGCTGTAGTGCAGCGATTCAGAAATTTTTCACAGTTGGGACCACATCTTCATAGAGTGTTTCATGAAAAGCTCTCATCTTGCTTAGGATTGGTCAGTGTCAATGTGGCAATGACGGCAATTGCTTCTAGGTAAAAGTAAAGTTAGGAAAGTATTTAGATGTTTTTAATTTAGTAAGTGTTCCTGTCCCTTTTGAAAGAAAATAAGCCTCCATTTGTTCTTCATTTTACGCTCCCTTTCCTCCCATCTGTTCTTTTTTCCCCCTACCTCCTACCAGGTACCTGGACATGCTTCTGTAACCTGGTCCCCTTCTCTCTTATTGTCTGGTTCTTTTCTCCCATTATGTGTTTCCCTACCCCCAGTTTTGTTCTCCCATAATCCTTGCATGTGTTAATGATCTCCCTGCTACCCCAGCTCCATCCAACTCACAACTGTCCTTTCCCTGATTCCTTGAATGTATTGCCTGGCTACTTGTTTACCTCTCCTTTGCTTTCCTGGATGTTTTGTTTCTAATGGGGGAGCCACTAGTCCCATTGGCAGCTCTTGGGTTCAAATGGTGGCTGGCGGCTGTAATCCCTAAGCATATTCTCCTCATATAGGAATGCTCCTTTTCTGTTTCCAACTGCTTCTATAGATGTCAAGACTCTTTGCAATAACTGGAAATGAGGCCTCAGCACCATGATTGGTCAACAATAACATGTGAGCCACAGTTTTGAGAACTGTTGATTTAGAGAGAGATCCATTTTGTACCATCTCTAGACTCCTTCAGAAGATGGTGATAATCCCACCTTAATCAGTCAATCCCTCTGCTGATGTTTTCCCATGTCTGCATGCCACTCCTGTTAGTCCTCCTTCAGACGTTTCATGTTAAAAAAACAACTAAAACTTTCTTAAAAGCGATCCAGCTGTTTATTTTGGTACTAAATGAGTATGTTTTGCTGTTTCCAAAAGAATCATATTTAAAATATCTGAGTGAATCTGTTAGACTGCAGCATATTGGTGCTTTAAAGCTTGCAACGACTATTTCTTGTCAAGTCTGCTACATTAGAAAGCTTCTAATCTGTGGCCATTCAGGAGATTTGCAAGATAGTCATATATATGGAGTTCTTTGAACGCATTCACTAAATGGTATGGTATTGCTTAGATTTGGCCTCTAGATATGAATTAAGACTTGATCTGTCAGTGTTATAAAAGCCCCTTTACAAGAGAGGTTTGACCAACCATTTCTTAAAATATTCCCCAAATAAAGTAAAATTACATCCTCTTCCTGTTTTGAGAGGTATCATATTTCTCGCTACATAAAATCTCTTCATTAGAGCCCCAAAATTGCCTACTTTCTGATTCAGTGACTAGATTGCTTTTTACTCTCTGCAGTGCCCAGCACAATGGGTCATGAATCCTGATTGGGGCCTCTATGACTAAAGTGATACAAATAATTAGTACTAGGTTATGATTCTGCTTGTTGTAGTAGCTTTAGAACAAATCAGTAGTTTTAGAAGTTGGAGTTCCCACCTTGGTTTGCAAAGGAACAGACTCAAGAGTGTTAATACTTATGTGGTAAATATCTTCAGAAAGTAATAATATGTGAGTGAGTAAGTCTCTTTCTTGTCTGAGTACAGTAGAACCTGTGAGTTATGAACACCTCGGGAATGGAGGTTATTCGTAATTCTGAAATGTTCGTAACTCTGAACACAACGTTATGGTCGTTCTTTCACAAGTTTTCAGCTGAACGTTGATTTAATACAGCTTTGAAACTTTACTATGCAGAAGAAAAATGCTGCTTTTAACCATCTGAATTTAAATGAAACAAACACAGAAACAGTTTTTTTTACCCTGTCAATTTTTTTAAAACTTCCCTTTATTCAGTAGTTTAACACATTTTGTACGGTAGAATATTTGCTTTATTTGTCTCTGCTGCCTGATTGCGTACTTCCAGGTCCAAATGAGGTGTGTGGTTGTATAGCATGGATTAGATCTCATTAAGATGTGCTGCCTTTAAATGTTTAGTTTTGATAACTTAAGTAGGAACATTTTGGAGAAGGCACTGTAGGAAAATATATCAAGTTCAGAATGCATATTTAAGTCCCAGTCTTGCAACCAGCTCCACACAGGTGGACAATGGATTCCCATTAAAGACATTGGGTTTCCATGTAGGCATAAGTGTCTGCCCGTGTTGATCCAATTGCAGGACTAGGACCTTAGTGTTCATACTGGTACAGCTGTTTATCTGTGCATACCAAATGATAGTTTTTCACTCTATCGAGAAGCTGTGGAGATCGTCTTACTTGTTGGGAGTGGCAGACAACCTTTTAGTTGAGGACAGAGAGTCAGGAGATGTAGGCTCATTTCCTGGATCTGCCACAGAGTTACAGCATGATCTTGTCCAAGTCATTTAAACCTGCTAGGTCTCCACTTTCATATCAGTATAATGGGGCTATTTCCCTACCTCAGAGTGATGCTTTATGAACATTAATGACGCCCCGTGGTATACTCAAATGGAAGGTGAAGGACAAAGTATTACTGCAGTTCCTGACTTTATACTGCTTGACTATCAAATTTCAGTGTTACATCTAATATTAAGGCATCATTTTGGGTTTATGAATTTCATTTTTCAGGGTTTATTTTTAGCAATTTTTGCATTTTATGTAGATGTCAATAATTGGGGAGGTTGGGTGCTTTCTCTTTTTATAGACTAATGAATAATGTATATTATATACATTACTCATCGTATACAGTAATGAGTAATCAATCTGTATTGTTTCCTAGTGCACTTTAGCATACTACTGTTTCAAAAGCACTATGTTAAAGCGCACAAGGGAATCTTTAGTGCTTACCAGAAAGCCTACACTGACCAATAAGTATGCAACACTCTTAGTGCTTCAGAAGTCACGCCTCCATAGACTGCATTACTGCTCCATGTAGACAAGCCCTCAAATACAAGTACCCATTTCTGGTGTGATTTGAAGCAACACCTATTTATTTATTTATTTATTTTCAGGGGTGTTTATCAGATAAAACCTAAAATTACATGTCAAAATAGTTCATGAAGAGCTTTTTAGAAAAGAGGGCATGTGCCCTCATTCACAAACAGTCACTGTATTGGTGGGATTTCATTTTTAGTGTGTGGAATGTACACCCACTTCTTTTGAGGAACTACTTCAATATAACTGTTTTTAGACTTTGTACATTTCTGCATTAAATTCTAAGTGTCGTTCTTACTGAAAGATGTATAAACTGTTTTCTAGGGATGTTCATGCAGTTTGCTTGTGGGATGACAAAGGTCCAGCAAAAATTCATCAAGCTTTGAAAGAAGACATCCTTGATTTTATTAAACAAGCACAGGCAGTAAGTTCTCAACCTTCAATAATTTACACTGTCCTTTTAAAAAAATAAAAGTATAACCGTAAACCTCTTTGGATCCCAAACATGACTTGTTCCAGTAATTTCTAACACAACGGAAAATTGCCTTTTAGGCATTGGTGGACCTTGTTTTGAATATCACAATTGTACTGAAAACTTTTTATTAACCGATTCATTTTATCCTGAGTGTTTACCTTGACCAGAAAGATTAAGTACTTCTCAGTCTGTTCTTGAGAATAAAGAGGTAATAATTGTTATATATTGTGGAGGAGATTTGGCCATTATTGGATGAACAAAAATATTTATCAGGGAGTCTCCTTAGAAGTATTCCTTCACTCGCTTGCCTCTTTGACTTATAAATTAAAGGACTTACTGCTGAATCTTTGACTTGAGGCAAAGTTAAGCATCAAAGTGATCTCTTTTGTATGGTTAGAGAGAGAGCTGTAAAAGGAACAATAAACCCCCTTTTCTAGTTCCGGTTTTTATTGCCTAGAAAATTCATTTCTGGGGATGTGATCTGCAAGCTGTCTAACTTGCTATAGAAGTAGCTAGAATATTCTAAATTTAGCTATCAGTGAAGAGACCTTTAATGCCTATCAAAAAAGATGAAGAGATCAGATCAAAGATATTTTAAATATTTTTCAAAAATTACCAATATTTGTTTGACTATCAGATTGATAAAGCCAGAATTTGTGTTCTATAAGAAAATGTCTGGAAATAAAGATTAAGTCTTAAATGCAAGGAAGTTCTTTAATTGTTTTAGCTGGCTTCAATACTACACTAGCATATTCATGGTTTTGCTTAAGAAATGGTCAAATGTATAGTCTTCTGACAGAATACTAGTGAGTTAACAGCTTGACAAGCTCCATAGGCCATTTGTATTTCAGTAGCTTTGGTCTACTGTTGACTTGACACCTGGTTTTGAGTTTATTCTAAATTAAAATACATATGAAATAGTGTTGTTGTGTGCTCATAAGAGTTTTTGTAGAGAGTGAAAGATGTGCAAAGACAAAAATTTGGAAAAGAAAAATAAATCTAAAATGTGTTCCTACAAACTCAGAAAGGGCCTTTTACTCAAACAAAGCCTTTTCTTTTCTAGGCCCAGATACAGCAGACTATCCCTATCCGGCAAAGCTCTTACACGTGCTGATGTTCCTTTGACTTTATTGGTACTTAAGAATGTGCTTAAGTGCTTTGTCGAATTGGGACCTTAGGCATGATCTGTACTGGTAGCTGTTTTTGTAAGCTTATGTTTATGCAATGTCTAGCCCATCATGCCTAAATTGGCTGTAACCTGTAGGAGCTAGTGCAGCATAAATGTTAAAAGTTCAGGTGTCTAAAGCCAGATCAGTAGATCACATTGAATTCAACTTTCTACTGCATATAAGGTAGAAAATAGTCCTTGTGAAACTTTCCTGTGTAGACTGGCTATACTGATATAACCCGCATGTGGACATTTATTCTGGTGTAAGAATAAATAAAACCAAGAAAAGCCATACCTCTTCACAGGCAACATAACCTAACCCAAAAAAGCCATTCTTATACCAGAGTGGTTACATGGGGGATTATATCATTTTAAATTCAAATCTTAGGTTATACCAAAAATACTTGTACCATGTAGACAAAGCCATCTGTTGTTTATGTAAAAACTTATTTACAACTGAGCTGTTCTTTTCTTCCAGAGAGTACTGAGTCATCAAGATGATACAGCTTTACTAAAAGCATACATAGTAGAATGGCGCAAATTCTTTACACAGTGTGATATCTTGCCCAAACCATTTTGTCAACTAGAAATTACTTTAATGGGTAAGCAGGGCAGCAACAAGAAATCCAATGTAGAAGACAGTATTGTTCGAAAGGTAAGTGACACTTTCTGATCAGAGTTTTGTAACAGAACATAAAAGATTTAGTGTTGATGCATTCCACAGCTGAAGGATGAAATTGCACTAACCTCACAGTATTGGAGTATCACTTTGCTTAAATCAACTTGCAACTTTTACTCCTCTTCCCATAGTTTTCCTCTGCCACTTACCGAATATTGCCCTAACCCTGACCATTTCCTTCATCTGTTCAGAGCAGCTCCCTGTGTTTTAAAATAGTTGTAGATCTCTGTAAAATGATTTATTTAACAAAAATACTTCTGATCTTGCTCCCTTTGCAGCCTGAGATACAGGAGGTCAATGAGCTTACATTTACTGGACCATTAAGGAGTAGTAATGACGTGTTACAGATGAAGCTCTAGTCAGTACTTAGCAAGGAGCCGGACAGCTGTAACTGAGGGCACTTAATGGGGCTATTCAAGGGCAATCCCTCCTGCTCCATGGAGGACACTTCCCTACCCTTTGGGAAGGAAGAGAATTTATACTTTTAAATAGCATGGAATTTGCTGTGACCATCAAATACAAAAACTGCACAGAATTACAAAAGGGAGCTGATCTGGCAACTGAGTGGAGGAGATCATTAGTGTAAAGTAACAGGCTGGGAGCATGCACTGATTATATCTGCTTTTTTTTTTTTTTGGTTGTTGCTCAAGATAATGCTGATCATGTTTTCTAAGCATCTATTAACTTGCTTCCCTGGAATTCCTATTGATTTTTTTTTAATGCAATTTAAAAAGTGTACTGAGGTGGATAGCTAAAAATATTGAAAAACAGTCTTTGCTGAAAAGAAACACCTCTTCCTCATCTCCATTATCGATAAATCTCAGAGCCAGTATTATTGTTACTTTGAAAATTGTAAGTTGGAAGACTGCTTGTTGGAATGCTTGAACTATGATCATGCATTTTAGAGCTCTAAAAAATGAACCACTTTGTTTTGAGTAGCAGCCCAAAAACTTCACTATCCTGTGGCTTTTAAATTAAATTTTGTTTGGACATGTTTCGCTAAAATCTCAGATAAGTGGCATACCTACTGTACATCTTACCATTACTATAAATCCTTTAGAGTTGGGTGTTAGGACAATGTGATGAGCTCACATTGAGAATCCCTAGCTTTTTTGGCTTCCAGGTGTTAAAAAATGAGCATTTATTCATTTTGAGTGCGAGATTCCTCTCCAGTTCCAAGAGGTGACCGTCACAGTATCATGTTAAAGCTCACAAGTTGTTCTTGAATAAATCCTTGTACATCAAAATACAAAGTTAAGTATTTCACCTACCTTCTCTGAAGTGAAATTTTAACAGAAAAGCAACTGTAATGTATACATTTACTCTATTTTGACATCTTCATTTTAAATTTCCTTTTAAATATGAAAGGAGAGCTAAACAAAAGAAACACAACTTAAGAAAATTCTTTATTTTAATGACACTCAAAAATTACTTTCTGTCTTCTGAGCATTAATTCAGTTCCAACATGTCTGAATCTAGCATGTTTAAGAACAAAACACTGAAGTTAAGTCAGGGCAGATTTTGGTTTTATGGAGCAGCTCAGGCTAAAGGTTTCAGAGTAGCAGCCGTGTTACTCTGTATTCGCAAAAAGAACAGGAGTACTTGTGGCACCTTAGAGACTAACAAATTTATTTGAGCATAAGCTAAAGGGTGTCTCTATGCTCCTTAACTTTTTCAAACACTCATCTGCATTTCATTAAATACCCACTATAGTAAATTATATGATGCACAGAAATGGACATTTTTATCTTTACCAAACTTGCCAAAAAATTAGGCTCCTAGAAATCACTATTGGAATCACTTAAAGATAAGACTGTTCACAATCATCCTTTAAAAACAAAGTTGATTCAATATCTTTTACAGTGATGACAGTGAAAAACAAAACTGGAATCTCAAGTAAGCAGTTGGTGCACTTAAAAACTTGAGACCATAGCAATTAATATAAAGCACGGAGATACTATACATTAACAAAGCCAGAGTTTAAAATATGAAATTGTAGGTATTCTGTGTGGCAGAAAGAAGAGAACCAGGATTTATAAGAAAAGGTCATTACAGACAGTTTAACTTTAAAATGACCAATATGCCATTTACATAGATGCTGCTTAGTTGTAGAATTATTGTGCTTGACTCTGTACAAATATGACTTCCACCAGGGAGCTTTCAGTGTTGTTCAGATGCAACACATTGGTCTGATCTCGAGGTTTAGCACCAAAATCTTAGAGGTCTTGCTGCTTACCAGAACCAGCTGAAGAGACAGTCATCCAGTAAAAGTAGTGAGACCCTTATCTAACGGGAACTCTTTTTAAATGGGGACTACAGCATTGACTGAGCTGTTCATTGCAATATCTATGTAACTCATTGATTATTTTTACATTGTACTCACAGAAACAAGTGATCGCATGGCATTGGATGCTAATAGCTTAATCTAACTGTCATGAAAATCTAAGGCAATCCAACAGTTAATTACTTTTTTTGTATACCCTTTGCTCTCTTACTAATTGCTATTTTATCTTAATTTTTCTACGTAAGCCTTTGGGTCTGCCAACTGCTGGACCACTATTTGACATTTAGCTCCAAGGTTAACTCCTTTGTATTGAGAGACCTGTTACATCCTTTAGTATGTCAGTGTGCACTTAGGGAACTTCTAGTGCACGTCAGCAGGGTTCACATAGACAATTAGTGCAGGGCATGATTGAGTTCTTCAGATTTACACCCCAGCTTGCTGTGCAGTAAGTGCTCATATAGACATGCCCTTAATTTGAAGTTCTGCCCATCCTTTTCTAACTGACTTTTTTTTTCTTCCTTGTTATTTAGCTCATGCTAGATACTTGGAACGAGTCCATATTTTCAAATATAAAGAATCGACTTCAGGACAGTGCAATGAAGCTGGTCCATGCCGAAAGACTAGGAGAAGCTTTTGACTCTCAACTTGTTATTGGAGTTAGAGAATCATATGGTATGTCTTATACAGTGTGATCTCAGCTGCATCTTCCTTTCTAGTTCACAGACTTTCATAACATGCCTTCAACTAGATGTTGACAAAAGGGGTATGGTTGGAATGATCATTATAATGTTTTTGTATTGATTATCAGTGGGGTAAATGCACTTGCCAATGGCAAGTAATAAACATTTCACTGGCAGGTGAGGAGCCTGCTCACCAATTTCTGCAAAATTGAAATGTACATTTTAAATAATAGTTTTAGCCCTTAATGTTGCAAAGAGACCCCTCTGAATGTGACACCTGGCAGTGCAGTCCCAGTCCTAGAGCTTGGGCTCCAGCCTGAGCCTGGAAGTCTACCTGAGCCAGAATTGGCTGGCATGGGTCAGCTGCAGGTTTTTCTTTGCTGGGTAGACATACCTCATTATCGTCAAAAGAAAATTTTAGCAAGAGAAATAATTGTTTTTTAGTCAAATGCAAAGCACTAAAAACTAGAGTAAGATCTAACTTTTTCTCTTTATAGTTAACCTTTGTTCTAATCCTGAAGATAAACTTCAGATTTATCGGGATAACTTTGAGAAGGCATATTTGGATTCAACAGAGAGATTTTATAGAACACAAGCCCCTTCTTATTTACAACAAAATGGAGTACAGAATTATATGAAATATGTAAGTATAAAGTAGGGCTGTCAAGCGATTAAAAAAAAATTAATCACGTGATTAAACAATAATAAAATACCATTTATTTAAATATTTTTGGGTGTTTTCTACATTTTCAAATATATTGTTTTCAATTACAAAACAGAATACAAAGTATACAGTGCTTGCTTTATATTTATTTTTTATTACAAATATTTGCATGTAAAAAAACAAAAGAAATAGTATTTTTCAGTTCACCTAATAAAGGTACTGTAGTGCAATCTCTTTATCATGAAAGTTGAACTTACAAATGTAGAATTATGTACAAAAAGATAATTGCATTAAAAAACAAAACCATGTAAAATTTTAGAGCCCACAAGTCCACTCAGTCCTATTTCTTGTTCAGCCAATCGCACAGACAAACAAGTTTTGTTTAAATTTGCAGGAGATGATGCTGCCCGCTTCTTGTTCACAGTGTCACCTGAAAGTGAGAACAGGCATTCGCTTGGCACTGTTGTCGCCAGCGTCGCAAGATATTTATGTGCCAGATGTGCTAAAGGTTCATATGCCCGTTCATGCTTCAACCACCATTCCAGAGGACATGCTTCCATGCTGATGATGGGTTCTGCTTGATAACGATCCAAAGCAGTGCGGACCGACGCATGTTCATTTTCATCATCTGAGTCAGATGCCAACAGCAGAAGGTTGATTTTCTTTTTTGGTGGTTTGGGTTCTGTAGTTTCCACATCTGAGTGTTGCTCTTTTAAGACTTCTGAAAGCATGCTCCACACCTCGTCCCTCAGATTTTGGACAGCACTTCAGATTCTTAAACCTTGGGTCGAGTGCTGTAGCTATTTTTAGAAATCTCACATTGGTACCTTCTTTGCGTTTTGTCAATCTGCTGTTAAATGTTATTAAAATGAACATTTGCTGGGTCATCATCCAAGACTGCTATAACATGAAATATATGGCAGAATGCGGGTAAAACAGAACAGGAAACATACAGTTCTTCCCCAAGGAGTTCAGTCACAAATTTAATTAACGCATTATTTTTTTTAATGAGCATCATCAACATGGAAGCATGTCCTCTGGAATGGTGGCTGAAGCATGAAGGGGCATACGAATGTTTAGCATATCTGGCACGTAAATACCTTGCAATGCTGGCTACAAAAGTGCCAAGCGAACGCCTGTTCTCACTTTCATGTGACATTGTAAGAAGCAGGCAGCAGTATCTCCCGGAAATGTAAACAAACTTGTTTGTCTTAACGATTGGCTGAACAAGAAGTAGGACTGAGTGGACTTGTAGGCTCTAAAGTTTTGCATTGTTTTGTTTTTGAGTTCTGTAACAAAATAAACCTACATTTGTAAGTTGCACTTTCAAGATAAAGAGATTGCACTACAGTACTTGTAGGAGGTGAATTGAAAAATACTATTTCTTTTGTTTATCATTTTTACCATGCAAATATTTGTAATAAAAAAATAATATAAAGTGAGCACTGTACACTTCGTATTCTGCATTGTAGTAGAAATCAATATATTTGAAAATGTAGAAAAACATCCAAAATATTTAATAAATTTCAATTGGTATTCTATTGTTTAACAGTGCGATTAATCACAATTAATTTTTTGAGTTAATCATGTGAGTTAACTGCGATTAATCGACAGCCCTAGTATAAAGATAGTCATATGATAACTGTTCTGTTGTTGTTGGTACTTAAAATGATTGCTGTTCTGCTTCTGCACAGGCAGACGCTAAATTAAAGGAAGAAGAGAAAAGAGCATTAAGGTATCTAGAGACAAGGCGCGAATGTAACTCTGTAGAAGCGGTAAGTTTAAAAACTTAGTTGTATATGTAGTAAAATCATGTGCAGTATTTCAATAGTAGTAAAGGGTTCTGATGTCAGTTTTGATCATAATTTGTCTTGCATTTTTATTTTAACACGTAATTGCAGTCAGAAGATCTGACGTACTAGAAGCCTTATTTTTATTTTTATTTTAAATCCACTATTAGTTTTACTTATTTTAAAAATAAAAATCAGTAGGCCCTATTTCAAAGGTCCCCAAAATGTGGGGTGTGCCCCCCTTGGGGGCTGGGGAGAAACATTCTGGGGGGGCATGGTGGGCCCGGGCCAGCCCCATGGGGGGCGGGAGAGAGCGCCACCCAGCTCTGCTTCTGGCCCTCATCCCATCTGCCAGGCCCTGCCTGCAGGCCCCAGCCAAGGCTCAACTCCCAGCCGCGTCCTCAGCTGTGGCCCCAGTCTCAGTCCCCGTACACGTCTGTGGGCCCCCTCCCAGAGCCACGGCCTCACTCCCGGCCCTGGCTCTTGGGGGGGGGGGCGTGGACAAAAGGTAAGGGGGGAGCGTGAAGTAAAAAGTTTGAGGACCACTGCTCTACTTTGTAGTTTGGAGTCTTACTAAACGTTCTGTAGAAAATACAGTAAAAGTACATAATTTTTAATTTACAACTCTCCTGTTTTAGATTCAGTATTTGATTGTTGGATTGGGAATGGGTTTGCCATTTTTTTAAATGTAAGTTAGTACAATTTATGTTGCACTTAGTGGGTTATAGTGACTTGGCAAGTAGGTAGGCAGTCCTAGGAGGTAAAAGGTTATTCAGTGCCAGTTTACAATATCTGGAAAAGTTCACTGTTTATCACATGAAACTCCCCAAACACTTCATAACTGGTAAATGACTAAATTTGCTCCCTCCATAACTGAAATGTAACCATCTCTGGTGTGAAGTACATCAACGGTTTACCAATGCTCACCAAACAGCTTAAGAAGGAAAGTGAAAAATACTTTATCAGGGTGAAACTCCAGGGAGAGATTTAAGTGCAGCAAGAAGCAATTTGTAGTTGCCTGTGCTGAAATTTGTTCAGGACACAAGACTATTTTAAACAAACACCCTAAGATCTGTAGTGGTCAGGATTTGCTTGGTCGCATTCTGCATTACATCATAAGTGGGGCATCCCTAGCTAAGATGAATGGTAAGCAGTATATAAAATTGTCTCATCTGCCAATCTCTTGAGTGTAGAAGTAATTTCTGTGCTAGAATTGTCATTAGGCTCTTGTTCAAAGCAAACTAAGTCAGGTCAGGTAGGGTACACTGGAATGAACTATTCTTGGCTGTTGGAAGTGCATTTGGAAACTAAGTAGGGTAGTTACTGTTCCAGAACTGATACTCCCTTGTGAGGAAGAGGCCACAGAAATATTAAACTGTTCACTCTTTCATGAGAGAAGCTACTTCATTTCCCATGCTACATGCTTTAAAGGAAAAACACCTATGAACTGAAGTATTACTTTGTTTCGTGGTGTCATAATTTCTGTATTAAGTACAGCCTATGAGCATGAAACATTTTTCTGAGCTGTAGTGCTTGAGTAGAGGCTAGTATTTATATTGAACATGAACTTGAGAGAGAGAACAAACTGGCACTCAAAGGATTGTACAGTAATAAGCTAACTATATTTCTTAATACATTTCAGCTTATGGAGTGCTGTGTGAATGCTCTGGTGACCTCATTTAAAGAAACTATTTTAGCTGAATGCCAAGGCATGATCAAACGAAATGAAACAGAAAGTAAGTGAAGCTTAAAAAATATTGCAGCATGATCTCAGTCAGCTAGGTTTAAAAAAAAAAATTCTTGATAAATGTATCTGATTACCATTTTGTAACTGAGGCGGCTACATGTTTCTTTTTATTGCATATGGAGCCCTTTCATTCCACAAAAAGCATATGCTTCCATGTGCCATTGTAGGGTAATATGTTTTTAAATGTGTTTATACTCTGTACCTTCAATACCCCAGTTTGACTGACTGGATAACTCTTCTTTTCGTGAAAGGCTAATTGTGACGAAGGATTTTTTTTACACACATTTATTGTTCTTTCTTTTGCAACAACCTTTCTCCAATTTTAATCAACTTTGGGGCTCTTCTTCAGAGCATTGCATCCTCTTGAACTTGAGTAATTTTAAAAATAAAATACCTCTCTCTGGGAGTCTCCCTCCTTTACCAAGATATTGCTTTTGAAGGCAGGGAAAGAGTTGGGTGTTTTAATTACTATTTCTGGTCCAGGACCAACATTTGGAAGAATGAACTGGTCAGCGAATAAAGTACCTCTGCATGTCTTTCACCTGTTTCACAGCCAATATCTCAAGACCTGAGAGAGCTGAAGATTAATGCTGTATGCCATTTAAAAGATGGCTTGAAGCGTTTGCTTCTAGGGATTTTGAGAGAGTGGGGTGATTCAAGTAGGAAAGATTTGTGAAGGTGCTGATCTGCTGGCCATTCAAGATGATAGCTACTAAAATGTCAGAAATGAAGTAGGGGAATTGACAAAGAAAACCGGAAATCAGTGTGGTTATTTTTAAAAGCACAGAATCCTGCAACCAAATTGTTGAATTTTTGTAACACTATGAATCATAGAATATCAAGGTTGGAAGGGACCTCAGGAGGTCATCTAGTCCAACCCCCTGCTCAAAGCAGGACCAATCCCCAGACAAATTTTTGCCCCAGATCCCTAAGTGGTCCCCTCAAGGATTGAACTCACAACCCTGGGTTTAGCAGGCCAATGCTCAAACCACTGAGCTATCCCATTTTCATTTCTATGCACACATGAGAACTGGGATTCTCAGTTTTCAGATAGTCTTAAGATCAAATATGTTCTGAAATGCCAGGTCTAGAAGTGAATGTTTTATACTACATCAGACTGATCCCTCCGTCTAGCAATACTTTCTTGGCACTAGACCAGGACTGAATATAGCAAAGTCCCCGTTTGCTGCTTGGCTTGTACTGAGCATGCTTGCAGGATTGAACATGCTCAGTAACACTGGTGAAACTGGCTGACCTCACTCCCCCCTCCCCGCAAATCGGCAGGCACGGGTCATGTCTGCTTGTTACAGTATAACTTTCAGTCCCCAAAGGAGTACAGTAGGTTTTATTTGAACCCAAAGCTATAGAGGTACTTCAAATAAGATACTTTCCTTAGAAACTTTGCTAGTTACTTATATGCCTCTCTGTTCCTTTTTCCATGCTAGAGAGACAAGTTGGGTGAGGTCCAGTAAAAGATGTTACCTCACCCACTTTCTCTCTAATATTCTGGGACCAACACGGCTACAACAACATCTTTCCATTATGTTCTTTATGCCTTCTTTTGAATTGATCTGTAAGGCTACTACCATTTCTTTCAGATCTCTTCAAAACTCACCTCTACCCTATTGACTATAAGAAATCAGCCACTTGATGGCTGGGTTAAGGAGGTAGATGGAAATAGCTGAATCTTAAATTAAAAGATGCAACCATGCCTATAACATATTCTCCCCCCTTTCATATTTCATTTGTCATTTTATATTGTAAGCTGGGGTAGCCAATAGGCAGACTGAGGACCAAATCTGGACCTCCAGAAACTTTTGAGTGGACTTTAAAGGTCAAACGGGCTGGAGCCATGCAGAGCAGTGCCCGCTCCTCAGCGCAGCGTCTCCCAGCAAGGGGTGGGCAGCTGGGCTAGGCTATGGGGCGCAGTGTGTCCCAGGCAGCTGCTTGTTCAGCCACAGCTCCTTCCTCCACCGGCCGGCAGCAGCTCAGGGATGGGGCAAGTGGGCCACGTGAGCGAATGAGCAGGTGCTGGCATTCAGGCTCAGTGAGTGGGACAAGCAGGGAGCTGGGCTGCCCAGCCCACCAGGTAAGCAGAGCTGTCAAGTGCCTCTCGGCCGGGCCGCCTGCTCCACTGCGGGGCCTCAGAGCCTGGCCAGGAGGGGTGACCGAGCTAGGCCCCGATTCCCCGCTTTGGGGTGGGGGGAAACCCGCAGGGAGGTGCTGACTGACGGGCTGGCACTGTGTCCCTCACTCAAGAGTGAGGCTGCAGGTACCCCCTCCCAAACCCCCCAAATAGCCCCTCCCAGTACACACACACATGCACGGGCAGTATCCTCTTTTTGGGAACTTGAAATATGGTAACCCTAAGCTGGGTAGGGGGCATGGGGAGGGGAGCTGGGTGGGGGGCAATTGAGGAATTTTATACCTACAATCATTTTATTTGTCAAACCTAAGTTGTTAATCTTTGTAAACTCAAAACTTGAAATAGTTGTCTGAAAGTGTTTTAATGCTAATATTTGCATCTCTTTGACATTTTATCTATGTACTTTCTCAAAGGCGCAGATGTAATTTATTACATCTTTCTTGAAGGTTATTGTTAGGGGAAAAAACTAGAGAAAGGTTGGAGATGCCTTTGTTACTCTCCTTGTGGATGCAGTGGGGAGGAAGAACTAGAGAGGATATTGATTCAGAAAAAAGGGACCAAAGAATTCTTGGCCACAGATGTTTTTTGGGACAAGCAGCAGGACCAAAACAATACAACCCTGCTTGTATAGCAGTTCCCAATCTTGCATCCCTGGTCAGTTTCACACCTATATGAATGTAGGCTTCTAATTCTGAGATCCATTGTTACTAGGAAAGTTGAGGCAACTGGAGAGGATGAGTGTGATTGAAGGTGGGAGAAGGGGTTCTAGTTGTACCCCAACCTACTTCTTCATGAACAAGATGACACAAAAATGGGATGTGGGACGAGAACTGCTTATGATATGAGATGCATTTACTTTGAACTTGGGTGTGTGTGTGTGTGTGTGTGTGTGTGTACAAGTAATCTAGCAAAAAGGAAAATAAATTAAACACTGAGAGAAGGGGAGGATAATACATATATGTTGACCTATTCCTGGTTGCCAGTGATTTTTTTATTATAGTTTTTTTTTTTTATTGGTGAATACAGAAAAGTTTTTATTCTCTAACATTCTACTAAGCATTTTTACTAACTTCTCAAAGAGAAGAATCCTTTCCTTGTGGAGTTCACATTTTGAAGAAGTTTCAGTAATATTAATATAAAACTATTTGAGGGGATGTATTGTTATTGAGATCGCTTACTCTACTATTTTTGTGACTTTTATGTCCCATTTGAGATATTCGTGTGAATAGAACATATACAAATTTTACTTAAAGCATTGTCTGGTTGTTACATGTGGAGTGACTAGTGGTTTCATCAGTATTTTGTGTTTTTCCAGAGTTGCATCTAATGTTTTCACTGATGGATAAAGTTCCTAATGGAATAGAGCCCATGTTAAAAGACTTGGAAGAGCATATTGTTAGTGCTGGACTAGCAGATATGGTAGCAGCTGCTGAAACTATTACTACTGTAAGTGTATGGTCTTGGGGGGGTGGGGAATTTCAATAGTCAGCAAGAACCTCTTGCAAAGGAAAACAAAAAATGCCCCCTTCTCTCTGTCTCCCCCCCCCCCCCCATAGTGGGATTACTGGGTATATTACATGTAAGTGTAAACATATATTTTTTAAATTTAATAGATATGTCAACAAACACTTTGACTTTCTCTTTGTTTAAGAGATCAGAATTTAAAACATCCTAAAAGGAATTTTGTACAATTATACCTGAATCCTTTTGCATGTTTGAACTTACAAATACTGGATCCATATATTAAAACATGAAATTTAAAGAAAATGTGCAGATGATAAATTGGAGGGAGCGCATATCAATCCCTATAGTTAGATGTATTAGCAATTTAGTTATAAAGGACTTTTTCAATTACTTATAACTTTTTGAACCTGTTACCTTTTGAGATTAAAATTTGGCATGCTTGTTCTGAACTAAGGAATGGTATTTTTTTGTGTGGAAGTTTCTCAGAAATGTTTGTTTTTCAAGCAAGAGGACAAAATATATTTTTTGGTTATTTTTTTAAAAATCCTAGATGGTGGGGGTTGTTTTTAATAGTTGTAGCCACACAGGAGAGACATAGACACATGATACTAGGTACCACCTCCCTGCCTCTGGAGCATAGATATCCCTCCAGTGAAAACTGATTTGATTTGTCATTTATAAGGTTTTTAAATACTCAATGTATACATACACATTTTTAAGTAGGAAATTTCATACCAAAAACTACATTAAAAGAATGTAAAAATTGCAAAGCCAAAACACTTAAGTTAGGGAAATACAGTTAACGTTGCCTACTCGTGCCTTACCTATGCATGTGTATTATGATAGTCTCTAATTTCTAATGGTCATTAATTACGTGATCACATATTATTCTTTGAGGAGTGTCCTTGTGGGTGCTCCACTTTAGTTGTCTTGACGCCCTGCACTTGTCATCGGAAATTTGTGGTAGCAGTGCTCGATTGGGTCACGCACGTGCCATCTCGTGCCACTGCGGGTGGTTACATAGTGGTGCGCGGCTAACGGTCCCTCAGTTCCTTCTCTACCGCCTTCGGCTTGAGTTGAAGTGATCATCAGCAGCCCTCTCTTACCTTCGATAAGATTAGCGTTTAGGTAGTTCATAGTTGTTAGTATAAGCAGTAGTTAGTCTACCCTTTATACTTATTTTATTTTACTTTAAAAAAAAAAAATTTCTTCCTTATCTACCCTTATATACCCCTCAGTAGAAAGATAAGTTTATCCTCCCGTAGGATTACTACCATCCCTTTTTGTTGGGGGATAGACTTTCGCAGGCATGCCCGGACCACCAGGCTTCAAACGCTGCCTGACTTCCAGACTGTCAGTCCAGGTTTCTGACAGTCATGCACAGTGCGTCAGCTGCCTGTCCCAGCGCCAGCCTGTCAGTCAGTAACACTTATTACTCAGAAGTGCCCACACTGCTGGAATCTCAGGGCCAGGGATCTCCAACTTAAATTCCTTATGATAGAGAAATCACTCAGGCCGGCCGTGGACCCTGAGTCCAGGACACCTCCGGGCCAACGGTCGCCAGCTCCAGCAACATCTATGAAGGAGCCTTTACCCAAGAAGGCTACCAAAAAGTGGTCCCAGAATTCTCCGCACTGGGAATCAGCCAAGGAAAAGCAATCCCCGCCCGAAAAATCTACCCCAGTACCGATGGCACTTAGTGCATTGGACCATGAGACACTAGGACCCTCCGGTACTGAGAGTCCTCAGAAAGCGAAAGACCCTATGAGGGCAAGCTCGAATGGAGGTTCACAGAGCAAAGTGAAACCTTCCACCTCGGCACCCACAGAGGCGAAAAGAAGCTTGGCACCGACTGGCATAGTGGCGCCACTTGTGGTGCCTATGCTGCATTACTCGAGATCTTTGGCACCGGTGGCTACAGTTTACACTCCCAGGCTGTCAGCAACACCATCCCCAGTACCAAAGCTCACGGTTCTGCAACAGTTCATGAGACATGTGGATCTATTAGTCCCCTCTACTCGGTACTGAGGGTACTCCATCCAGATCGGTACCGAGCCATTCGAATACTCCACCTAGATCAGCTCCACCTCTGTCTGGTGACGAGGATGACCCAGTCACATATACTCCTCGTCACTCCTCACCCAAACGTGGACCGTCTCATCTATCAGAACACCACTCATCTGCAGAGGCATGTGCCTGGTATGGGCCCTGCCCCCCGGGCCATTGCCACCAAACTTGCCATGCTGGAATCCGTGGGCTATATACAGGGCCCAACACTGCAGGTCTACTAGCCCGCCAAGATTGAGAGCCACACAATCCCTATTGCCAACTATCCCAGCACCCTCATAAATACAAGAGGAAGTGACTGAGGAGACTGAGGATGTAGCCTATCCTATCTCCTAGAACTGGAAGGGACCTTGAAAGGTCATCGAGTCCAGCCCCCTGCCTTCACTAGCAGGACCAAGTACAGATTTTGCCCCAGATCCCTAAGTGGCCCCCTCAAGGATTGAACTCATAACCCTGGGTTTAGTAGGCCAATGCTCAAACCACTGAGCTATCCCTCCCCCCGACCAGGAAACCTCACCACATGCACACCTCTCATCTTTGTCATCGGATGAAACCATAAGGCCACCGTCCATTGGGATGATTTCAAGGCCTTTCAGGACCTCTTCAAAAGGTGGCAGAATCCTTAGCTATTTCATTAGAACACGTACCTGAATCTCAACATAAGTCACTGGACATACTCCAGTCATCCCCGTCAGTAAAGATAGTATTACCGATCAACGATGCTATTATGGAGCCTGCCAAAAACATCTGGCAGACACCAGCAACAGCATCATGCAAGAGATTGGACAAAAGATATTATTTGCCATCTAAAGAAGCTGAGTTTTTATTTACACACCACACCAAACTCACTAGTGGTGGAGGCAGTAAATGAGAGGGGAAAACAACACCACTCCAGAACAAGCCCATATGATAGACTGGAAAAGATTAGACATCTTCGGCCGCAAGGCCTTTTCCTCTGCGACACTTCAGTTCCGCATAGTAATTATGCTGCCCTACTGGCAAAATACACACACAATATCTTTTCAGAAATGTCAGAATTTATTGATAGTGTGCCTGACAATAAAAAAAGAACAATTTAAAGTTAATATCGCTGAAGGACATCTCATCGCCAGAACAGCTTTATAGGCCTCTCTTGACTCCGTAGACATGGCTGCATGGTCCATTGCGGCTGGCTCCCTCACTCAAGGTTCCCTATGGAGGTCCAGGCTACAGTCGAAGACTTTCCCTTTGAAGACCCAAAATTATTTGTGGCCAAAACAGATAGGTCTCTCCACACCCTGAAAGACACATGGGCAACTTTGAAATCCATGGGTATCTACACGCCTGCAAATAAAAAGAAACAGGGCAGGTATTATAACCAGAGAGTCTGATCGCCTCCATACACACAACATAGAAAGTATGACCAGCACTGCAAACAACAGCAAACCAGACGTTGACCTACCCAAAACCAACCTTCGACGTCCCAACAATCCAACACTAGAGAGCAGTTTTGAAGGTGTGCTCGAGGGCACAAGACAACTGCACGTTCTAATGCTAGAAACAGACACTATCTCCCAACCATTCGGAGATGGATTGTCACATCGATGGCCTTCCTCATTGCCATCACATCCGCCAGATGAGTGGGAGAATTAGGTGCCTTAATGGAACATCCCCCATACACAGCATTCTTTAAAGATAAAGACTGGACATCCAAAGAGCATTAGCTTTCTACACTGAAAGAAACAACAGTATTCAGAAAATCACCAAGACTATCTGTCTCCATAACAGAACGCTCGATGGGTCAAAACATCTCAAAACTGAGACTATCCAAATGGATATCAGCATGCATCCACTTCTGCTACCAAAACACCAACCTACAAGGCCCAGTGGGAGTCCGCACGCACTCTACCAGAGCACAGGCAGCATCTGTTTCCTTTCTTAGTAATGTCCCCATCACTGACATTTGCAGAGCAGCAACCTGGGCATCAGCCATACATTCCCAAATCACTATGCTAAAGAGCAACAAGTCAGCATCAGACGCTCACTTTGGACTCTCAGTGTTATCCAGCGTCAATAACGAAACTCCGAAGCCCCTCCCTTCCACTGAGGGTCACTGCTCAACAGTCACCTAAAGTGGAGCACCCAAAGGGACACTTCTTGAAGAAGAGAAGTGCAGTACCTGAGGTTCTTCATGATGGTTGTCCCTGTGGGTGCTCCACTACCCTCCCTACTCCCCTCTACTTCGGAGTTTCACGTAGATTCTCTGGGGTAGAGAAGGAACCAAGGGACAGTTAGCTGTGCACTGCTATGTAACCGCCCATAGTGGCACAAGATGGCGCCGGCGCGGTGCAGTCAGGCACTGCTACGACAAATCTCCAATTACAAGCGCAGGGCATCAAGATACCTAAAGTGGAGAACCCGCAGTGAGAACCATCTCAAAGAACCTCAGTTACTGCACAAGGTGAGTAACCTCTCTTTTTTTTTTTTTTTTTCCGCCTGGAGATTGGTTTTTGTTTTCATTTGTTTTGTTTTGCTGCTTTAATTTTAGGATTCTGAGAAATATGTAGAGCAGTTGCTTACATTATTTAATCGATTTAGTAAGCTGGTTAAAGAAGCTTTTCAAGATGACCCAAGGTTTCTTACCGCAAGAGATAAGGTATATGTTTTAATATAACTGATCTTTGTCTTCATTTATTTTAAATTGTTGAAATCCATAATAAATTATTGCCCGTTTATTGATGAGTCCTGAAGTCTGTTCTTATGCTAATAAACTTGTTGAATAAAAGGCTGGTTAGAATCTTTTTAAGGTAATTGGTAACCTGATTTTTATTATTTGTATTGTGGTAGTGCCCAAAGGACCCAGTCAGGCCTGGAGCTGGTAGTGTTGTTTAATTGTACAGCACGTATGAAGATGCTGACTGTGCTGAGGAGCTTATAGTCTAAGTGTCTGATTCAGCAAGGTAGTTATGCTCCAGGTTGTACGTATAATTCTGAATAGTCCTCTGACTTCAGTGGAACCCCTCACATGCTTAAAGTTAGGCATTTGCTGAAGTATCTTGCTGAATCGGGGCTTCAGAAAAAGCTGCTTTTCAGTACGGTAGCATTAGTCTGCGTCTAAGACATTCTTAGTGTTGAATCAATTGATTTTTAATTCATCAGTGCTATACATTTCTAGGGCCTGTCAGTGACATACAAGAATTGGGGAAATCACTGACAAGCCCTGGAAACGTATAGCACTGAAGAATTTAAAATCGATTGATTTAATACTAAAAAAGCCTTAGCCTGCTTCTAAGACAAACATATTGAAAAGCAGTCTACAAACATATTGGACTAGTAAAGGACATGGATTAGAGGGTACAGACACTTGCTATAGTAAATTTAAAAAATGGGAGATGTGAATTGTTTCATATTTGAATACATTATTAAAAAAATTGAATAAAGTGTTTTATACTCTTATTTTAACTATTCATTTTAGGCATATAAGGCAGTTGTGAATGATGCTACAATATTTAAACTTGAATTGCCATTGAAGCAGAAAGGGTAAGCCATTTAAATACTAATGTGAATCAAGTATTTCAAATTTAAATTTGAACAGGCAAGTTCAATAATGTTTTAAAATGTTTTAAGAACACTATGTAATGTCATACTACAGTTTACTTTAGTTTGCTTTTCTGTTGACCCCAAAAGCACTCAAAGGCCTGTTGGGGCTTTGTACCTTTTTTCATACTCTGAGGAACTTTTTCACATGACAGCAGATCTGTTATCTAAATAAAAAATGTAGCCTATCAAGCTGGCTTTTACTTGTAGTATTTTGTTGCTTAAATATTTTTACATTGTTTATAATGACTTAGAGTTGGGGTCTACATAAGTTTAGGACTGTTTAGGGATAGTGATTCTTTTTTTTTTTTATTGTCTTTATTTAAATGGTGTTTTTATTAATTATGTAAAGTTGCTGTTGAGCTGTGTATGTATCAATACACAAATCCTTGTCTCTCCACATACTGTTATTGGAATGCCACTATCCAGACTGATGGATAGTCCTCTTTCATACTGAGAGCTGGCAGTGAATGCCAAGCATTTTCATTCCCCTCAGCTAGGGTAACTACAACTTTTACTTCCCTCTACTGTTTTAATTTCTGTCATTGAATCAGGCAGGAAGGAAGAGGCCATTGTCATCACTTTCTGTCCTATTGCACTTTTATTTTATACACATTTGTTACTTCCTTTTTCACTGAGATAATGATGACAATAGCAGAGGAAGTGGGATGAAAGAAGAAAAAAAACATAGGTGCACTGTGTGTGGGGAGCCTCGAGCAGTAGTTATTCACCAGGATTTTTGTGACCTGTGAGCAGACTGTGAATTTCCACAGCAAGGCAGCAGTTTCAAGCTGTAATTTGAAGGAGAGAACTTCAGTCAAAGAGACCACGAGATGGTCACTAGGTCCAGAAGGACCTGGTATCAATCAGGGCATGGTCTATTCTTGAGGTAGAAATGTCAAAGGCAGAAAAAAAATCCTTGTGTCCAGACAATAGGAACCCTCGGGAAGTAAGCATTCAAACTGAGAATGCAAAACTTGGTATGCTATAGAGACACTTTTTTGGCCAGGAGCCTCATTTGGAAAGATGAAATTGCCCATTCTCTGTCCTATGGAACATCAACATAGGATTATATACAAACCCTGAGTATGCGGTGACAACCTGCATCTAAATTCTGTAGCAGTCTCATATATAGGGCCTTACCAAATTCACAGTCCATTTTGGTCAATTTCACAGTCATAGGATTTTAAAAATTGTAAATTTAATGATTTCAGATATTTAAATCTGAAATTTTATGGTGTTGTAATTGTTAGGGGTCCTGACCCAAAAAGGAGTTGTGTGGAGGTCGCAAGGTTATTGTAGGGGGGGTTGTGGTATTGCTATCGTTACTTCTGCTCTGTTGCTGGCAGCAGCACTGCTGTCAGAGCTGGGCAGCTGGAGAGCGGCAGCTGCTGGCCGAGAGCCCAGCTCTGAAGGCAGAACCACCACCAGCAGCAGCGCAGAAGTAAGGATGGCATGGTATGGTATTGCCGCCCTTACTTCTATGCTGCTGCCTTCAGAGCTGGGCCCTTGGTCAGTAGCCACCACTCTCTGGCTGCCCAGCTCTGAAGACAGCAATGTAGAAGTAAGGTTGATATGGTATGGTATTGCCATGCTTACTTCTGCATTGCTGCTGGCTGAGCGCTCAGCCAACAGCCATTGCTCTCCAGCTGCCCAGCTCTGAAGGCAGCGCAGAAGTAAGGTTGGCAATACTGTGGCCCCCCCTTAAAATAATCTTGCAACTCCCTTTTGGGTCAGACCCCCAATTTGAGAAACGCTGGTCTCCTCCGTGAAATCTGTATAGTACAAAGCAGCATTTCTCAAACTGGGGTCCGCAAGGGTACTCCAGGGGGTCCGCCGGTCCCTCTGATCAACTCCTCCCCCTCTCTTCCAGTGCCTCTTGCACGCCTGGGAACAGCTGTTCAGTGGCATGCAGGAGGTGCTGGGAGGGAGGGGGAGGAGCAGGGACGGGGCGTGCTGGGAGGAGGGGTGGCAGGGATGGAGCGGGGGCAGAAAAAGGTAGGGCCTTGGGGGAAAAGGTGGAGTGGGGGCGGGGCCTGGGGCTGAGCAGGGGGGTTGGGGGTCTGTGAAAATTTTTAAATCAAAATGGGGGTCCTCGGGTTGCTAAAGTTTGAGAACTGCTGGTATAGGGTAAAAACACACAAAAGACCAGATTTCACAGTCCATGGCACTTTTTTCATGGCCGTGTATTTGGTAGGACCCTACTCATATAAAATGAATCTGCTTATAATAACCGTATGATAGCTGTATCCAGTAAAAATGCTTCCTTCTTATAGTTTACTATTATGGGTAGAGGCTGTATTTTTCTTTTAATTCTGGTTTTAAAATTGTGAAGTAATTCATTATCTATTTTAATTTGAAAAACTGAAAACTTTGTATTCAAAGAAGTCAGGGTTTTTATGTAATGATTAAGTTTATGTAGAAGTCAATATGATTCCTCTAAAACTTAAACATACAACTGACTATGAATGTCAACATGGTATGAATCTTCAGTACCCGATATAGCTCGTTGCTTTTTTCAGGGAGTCTCTTAATTGTGAACAGTGTTTACACACAGCACTGATGGGTGGGGTCTCTGACAGCTACTCATTGACCAACTTGTCAGCTCACGTGGTCTGAAAACCACTTATTTGCAACAGTCAGAATTGAAAATTAAGAGCCCTGATCACTTGGGCAAAAACACTTTAGTTCTAATGTTTAAAAAGTTGCATTTTTAAGGGCAGAGGATAGTTACTGTTACTTTAAGCAAATAGAATCCTAAGACATAGTTCCTGACAACGGCGTATAGTGTGTTGTGTCAGATCTGGTTGAGCTCCCCTTGTTGGACAGTTACTAGACTGCTGTGCGGGAGGATCCAAGTGCTGAATCCCACAGCTTGTTGGGACTGGGTAGAGTTCATGGATCACCCATAGCCCTTGGCACTCCCAATACTTCTGGTTGGCTGGGGCAACCATGAGAGGCTTGGCCCCCTGGAGAGGGGATATTAGTATTGTAGTGCCTCTGTCAAGTGAGCAGTTTCTCTTGCTGGATGAGGTGGAATCTCTGTTCTTCACACCTGCTGAAGAGAGGTGAGCTGTGCTTCCTCATCCGTCCCTGCTCTAGTTCAATGATTCATCTTGACTGACAACCCTGAAGCCATAGATTAAGGGGAAATTTCCCACCTTCGTTTTCTCTGCATTTCCCTAAGCAGTTGCTTTATACCCAACTGGGGCTTTTCCCACATGTGCTGGATATCATGAGTTTGAGGGGGTGCTCTTTACCATTTCTCCCAGCAGGGTTTTGAATCCATAAGACCTTGAACTGTATCTTTCCCCCTGCTTCTGGCATGATTTTTGACCACCGAAATGGTCGACACTGATTTTCTTCCCTGGTAAAGGTAAACTGTGAGCTCAGTTTCTGGGCCACTGTGTCTGGCCTTGTTGGGTTTGCATCTGTGCACTCTGGGGTTATCTGGTTACACCATTTCCTACTAACAACTCAAAAGGGAATATTTTCTCCGGTATTCCCACAGTCAGCATCTCAGAACATTCCTGGGTGTCCATATAGACTTGGGCTACAGGTAGGGCAATCGTTCATCATAGAAACTTTTACCCACATCTGTTTGCCTGTCAGCGCCTTATATGGAAAATTTCACATGGGATTTCACCAGAGTTGTGCAGCACCAGTGTCATGTTTTTGCTAACCTAGACTGGGGTAAACTGTAGTCAGTAAGAGAGATTGCTATGCCCCCTAAATTATTAAAGGAACCCACTTGGCAGAAGCTTGGAGCCCAGTTTTCTCCAGGTAAGGTAATATAGAAAGAATTCCACTAGATTTTTCACTCACCAAAGTCCAATTTCTTAACACAGTTTCCAAACAAAGATTCCTGATTAAGTCTGTGATTCCTCCCTAGAACCTACATCTATTTCTTTCACAGCTTAGCCTTTCTACCACGCCCTCTTCCATCATTTGAACCACTAATGACATTCCTGGCCTATAGTTTTCCTAGAGGTCATAATATTAATGTGAATGGTAGAAAAACTGACTGTTTTGTCCTCTTCCTATGCAGAATTCTTCTGCATGTCATTCATTCCATGAATTTGTTCAAGTTTTCTACCTTTTTGGTCTGTTTTACTTTAACCAGAACATTTTCCTGCCTAGTTTGTACCCTAAACCTTGAGCAGACAAAATAAAGCTTTGATACCTGTTGAATGCTTCTATGGCCCGAAAATCAGCATGATCCCATCATTCAGAAAATCCTGAGAACTATTCCAAAGCCAAGGCTTCAAGACTTACAATAACCTAAAGGTGCTATACTTTCATTTCTGAGACCTTTAAAAGGCCATCAGATAACCCTGTACTACAAGATGCTTTTTGTCCTAAAACCACTGAGTAGTCTGAAGTGTTCCATAAGAATACTATCTTGTGGCCCTTGCATACTTTGAGGCACTATAGTCTTAATATTGTAGTTCTGCTGATTCCGCTTGTAGCGGCGGGATTTCAGGTCTGCTGTCTCTGAACCACCTTCCAGTGGTTTGCATCCAATACTTCTTTGGTGTGTCTGTGACAATAATGGCTTGCTCTCTTACTTCTATGAACTGCATTTCTCCGCATTGTTACTTGGGACCCATCAAATTGCACTAGTAACAGGAAGACACAGAAAATGCATTCCTTATTTGATCATTCTTTTCTGGAACTCTAACCAGTATGTGGACACCCACCTTTCAGATGTTTATGCAAATTACTGTTTGAAATTATTCCTAGCTAATTGCAGTTCTGAAATTTCCAAACAACATTAGTTGAGAGACAAATGGAAACACTTGGTCATCTTTTGGTTACTGTTTGACTGAATGGGATGGGGTTAGGGGGAATGGAAGAGAGAATTACCTTTCATTTTGCAACAGTTTAATTGAGGTAGGATCTCTTACCTGGTCATTTATTCCCTTCCCTTTAATCCTGGTTTCTAGTTAACCTGGTATAGCAGGTTTCTCTTCACAGTTTTATGGAGTTTTCGTTTCATGTTGCTTTTAGGGTTGGATTGAAAACACAGCCTGAGTCCAAATGCCCTGAACTGCTTGCTAATTACTGTGACATGCTGTTAAGAAAAACACCACTAAGCAAAAAATTAACCTCTGAAGAAATTGAAGCAAAGCTTAAGGAAGTGGTATGTGCATGCTCTCAACTTTTTAAATTAAGCTAAGAAATCATTTTTGCTGTTTTTCAGGATTTCATCTTCAAAAATGTTGCTACACTAGAATATTAATAGTTGAAACTGAAACCTCCACAGCAAATATTTATATGTCCATATGCTGTCACAGGACAGCAATGTCAATGTGCTAGTTTACAATTTACATATTGTGTATTACATATATAATGGACAAGAATCTGAAAATATAGACAGGAAATTAAAGTTTAAATACAAAGCAGAGCTGATGCACCATTGAAGGGCTTGCTCCTCAGTGATTCAGATGAAGAAATTGGTGATTATGATACTGTAGCAATTTTACATCTGGTGACTAGCTTGATTCTTTTGTAAGGAAATCTAAAGTAGCTTTGCGCTAGTTTTATTTTATGGTGATATGTGGGACCAGTTTTGGGGAAAAAAAAAAAAAAAACTGTAAATGAAGTGGTTTGATTTGGCATGGAAATAAATAGGCATTGAAATCTATTTTTAACAGCTTTTGGTACTTAAATATGTACAGAATAAGGATGTTTTCATGCGATACCACAAAGCTCACTTAACAAGACGTCTGATACTAGATATATCAGCTGATAGTGAAATTGAAGAGAATATGGTGGAATGGCTGAGAGTAAGTATCCTGAAACCTTGTTTGATTTCTTAGTTCCTGTTGATGATGATCAGTTCTTATTTTTCAATGTAAATGTTTCTCCTGTCATGTGACACTTTTTTCTATTTTAAATTATACCCAGTTTTGATATTTTATGCCTCTGTATTAGGGCTGTCGATTAATCACAGTTAACTCCCGTGAATAACTCAAAAAAATTAATCACGATTAATCGCATTTTTAATCGCACTGTTAAACAATCGAATACCACTTGAAATTTATTAAATATTTTGTATGTTTTTTATATTTTCAAATATATTGATTTCAGTTGCAACACAGAGTACAAAGTATACAGTGCTCACTTTATATTTTGATTATTACAAATATTTGCATTGTACAAGTGACAAAGAAATAGTATTTTTCAATTCAGCTCATACAAGTACTGTAGTTCACTCTCTATCATGAAAGTAGGGTTTACAAATGTAGATATTTTATTTGTTACATAACTGCACTCAAAAACAAAACAATGTAAAACTTTAGAGCCTACCAGTCCTCTCAATCCTACTTCTTGTTCAGCCAATCGCTAAGACAAACAAGTTTGTTTACATTTACGGGAGATAATGCTGCCCGCTTCTTATTTACAATGTCACCTGAAAGTTAGAACAGGCGTTTGCTTGGCACTTTTGTAGCCAGCTTTGCAAGGTATTTACTTGCCAGATATGCTAAAACATTCATATGCCCCTTCATGCATCAACCACCATTCCAGAGGACATGCTTCCACGCTGATGACGCTCGTTAAAAAAATCATGCGTTAATTAAATTTGTGAATGAACTCCTTGTGGGAGAATTGTATGTCTCCTGCTCTGTGTTACCTGCATTCTGCCATATATTTCATTTATGGCAGTCTCATATGATGACCCAGCACATGCTCGTTTCAAGAACACTTTAATTGCCAATTTGACAAAACACAAAGAAGGTACCAATGTGAGATTTCTAAAGATAGCTACAGCACTCGACCCCAGGTTTAAGAATCTGAAGTGCCGTCCAAAATCTGAGAGGGACGAGGTATGGAGCATGCTTTCAGAAGTCTTAAGAGCAACACTCCGATGCGGAAACAACAGAAGACGAACCACCAAAAAAAGAAAAATCCACCTTCTGCAGTTGGCATCTGACTCAGATGATGAAAGTGAACACGCACTGCTTTGGATCATTGCAGAGCAGAACCAGTCATCAGCATGGAAGCTTTTCCTCTGGAATGGTGGTTGAAGCATGAAGGGACATATGAATATTTGGCACCTATCTTGCGACACCGGCTACAACAGTGCTATTGTTCTCACTTTCAGGTGACATCGTGAACAAGAAGTGGGCAGCACTATGTCCCATAAATGTAAATGAAGTTGTTTGTCTGAGCAATTGGCTGAACAAGAAGTAGGACCGAGTGGACTTGTAGGCTCTAAAGTTTTACATTGTTTTGGAGTGCAGTTACTTTTGTACATAATTCTACATTTGTAAGTTCAACTTTCATGATAAAGAGATTGCACTACAGTACTTGTATGAGGTGAATTGTTTTGTTACAGTGCGAATATTTGTAATCAAAAATAAATATAAAGTGAGCACTGTACACTTTGTATTCTGTGTTGTAATTGAAATCAGTATATTTGAAAATGTAGAAAACATCCAAAAATATTTAAATAAATGGTATTCTATTGTTTAACAGCGCAATTAATTGTGCGGTTAAGTTTTTTAATCATTTGACAGCCCTACTCTGTATAAATTCCAACATTTTGCAGATGTGGAACAGGACCTATGAATTATTTAAAAAAACATTTTCTCTCTCCAATAATGAAACTCTTAAAAAAACAAAACAAACAAACAAAACCTTAGCTACTGGTTAAATTTTAATTTATTATGAAAATGAGACCAATGTCTTATGAATTGTCATTTTAGTATAACGGATATAAAGGGTTATGTGGAGCAAAATGAGTTGTGGCTTAACATGGAAAAAAAGCCCAGACAGAACTGTTTTACTTTATGAAAGGATACAGTTTTCGTGTTCATGAAGACTTTTTTACCTTGGAATCATATGCATTCTAAGGGATAATCCTGCATCCCGATGCATAATGGGAATTGTTTTACGAAGAGGTCTGTTCAATAGGCCATACGTGGGATTTGGCTTTCTCAAAATGATTCTGTAAAATCCTGTGCATATGTTCTTGTAACATTGGGTGATACAGTTAGGCAAACCATGTGACTTGAAACTGTCAGCAGATTAGTTCCTGCCCTATCAAAAGAACAGCCCTAGGGCTAGATGTGCAAAAGTTGTGAAGCCATCCGGTATTTACACATCCAGATGACCAGATACACTGCTAACTGGTTGTTGAGGCATCAAAATAACAGATTTGTGAGCACGTTCATGGAAATTGCATGCAAGTTAACTATACATTTTGCATGTTTATTTGCACACTTTAAACTTTTTTTGTTTTAAGCCCCTTCAGTTTATAGGATCCGTCAGTCTTTTCATGTTTTTACCTTTTTTTAATGTTGATTCTTGAAAGTAATTGCATTTTCTTTCGGCCCTGATGTGATATATATCTACAGAAAGATTGCGACTTGTTATCACAAAATGCCACAATCTGTTTTTTTTACTGAAGTCCATTTATTTTTAAATTAGTTATTGTAAACCTCAAGACTGATGTATGTAAGCTTTTTATCTTAAAGATTGTGGCGTCTTGGTATAATTTGTCATCTGTTTATACAGGAAGTAGGTATGCCAGCAGACTATGTAAACAAGTTGGCCAGGATGTTCCAGGATATCAAAGTATCTGAAGACTTGAACCAGGCCTTCAAAGAAATGCACAAAAATAATAAATTGGCCCTACCAGGTATTGTTTCTCAAATGTGTTTTGATATTTGTTTTACTCATGTTAAAGAATAGTTCTTTTAAAACTTGGAATTTCTATTATGTTTAGACTTCAGTTTGAACATAGGTTGTCAGTTAGAACACATCTTACTTTGAGGTCAAAAACAGTTAACATGCTCCTTTGCTATCTAGTTTGGTGGTATATTTTCAGATTAATATATTTTAATACTGTCTGGTTTTTATAGCTGATTCTGTGAATATTAAAATTTTAAATGCTGGTGCCTGGTCTCGAAGTTCTGAAAAAGTGTTTGTATCGCTGCCCACGGAATTAGAAGACCTCATCCCAGAGGTAGAAGAGTTCTACAAAAAGAATCACAGTGGCAGAAAACTGCACTGGCATCATCTCATGTCCAATGGAATTGTAAGTATATTGAGTTTACTATTCATTTTTAATGTATAAAATCTGTATCTGTCTACAGCAATAAGCAATATATGTTTGGACTTAGAAAAACAACCGATGAACCAAAAAACCTAATGAACAAAAATATATTTTTTTCTGTTTTCAGATAACATTTAAGAATGAGGTTGGCCAGTATGACTTAGAGGTAACAACGTTTCAGCTGGCTGTGCTGTTTGCATGGAACCAAAGACCCAGAGAGAAAATCAGCTTTGAAAATCTTAAACTGGCAACTGAGCTCCCTGATGCAGAACTTAGGAGGACTTTATGGGTATTTTTACCTTTCTGTTGAAACAGATTTCTTCTTTACCTTTATTTAATACTTAAATATCCACCTTAAAAAATATTCAAGTACTAACTCTGGCAGTGCTTTTGAAATTGAAGAGTGAAAACCTTTCCTAACTAGCCTTTTAGTTGCAATGGTGCTTCTTTGTGCTTTACATTAATATGTATAGCCTTTACCTGTAGGCATTCTTTCCTATCAAGATTGCCCAACTTAAACTTTTAGAGGCAGCTAAGTCTTTCTGGCCAGATGTTGCTTAGAGGATGCAATTGTAATAGTTTGTTTTTGTTGTAGGACTCATCAAGTTTTAGGAGTTCAGCCGTTACTACTTAAATGTACTTTATTTAAAAGTGACTTAATTTTTTGGGGAACACTCCTGTAATCCACTCAGATCAGCAGAAACTCTAGAAGAAGAAACCTTGAATGGATCAGATTTACCACTGGCCATTTCTGTGGCTGAGAGTTCATGCACTTCAGCTCTTCTGAATGATACTGTTTATAGTAAAACATTTCAAAAAGAGAGGTGTGTTAAATAATGCATCACAACAGTGTTTAATAAATCATTGACTTGATGCTGATTAGATTATTATGAGTGCTAACAACATGCATGAGCTTTTTACAATCAAATAAGACTACACCGTCCCTGTACCAATGAGCGTATAGTACAGCTCTCTGTTATACAGTTAAATCCTAAAGATTGGTTGGTTCTGTTTTAAGAGTCTAATGTTTCATTTTCATGGTCTCTTCCCCTCTCCCCTTTCTCTGTAGTCTCTTGTAGCATTTCCAAAGCTGAAACGTCAGGTTTTATTGTATGAACCTCAAGTCAATTCGCCCAAAGACTTTACAGAAGGAACTCTCTTCTCAGTGAACCAGGAGTTCAGTTTAATGTAAGATATTTTTTGAAAATGAAAATACAGAATGTTTTAGTATTAAAGGATTTTTCTTGAAATGAGCTGATTTCTTAATCGCTTAACAATGAGATGCAAAATTAAGGTTTTGATGACTTGTTACTAATGAGTCCACAGCACTTCAAGCAGGAATAAGTGTGTTAGAAGAGAATCTGAGTAGAAGATTGATGCTATCTACATTTACCCTATGGTGTCAGAAACAATAGGAATGATATTTTCACTTCTTGTTCTAAATTGTTTAATGTTTCTGTGCACTGTTAAAAAGTGGCTCAGCTAATGTATCTTACAATAGAGGTGACCATATTGCAGTGAGGAGTGTAGATATCTCATAGTCGTGCTTTGGGATCCTTCAGAATGAAAGATGCTGTAGAAATAAAACATTAACAACATCTGATATACATTTGCTTCAGGGCACTTTATGTAGAAGATATTAGGTCTTTTTATCATGAATAACTATCAGTAGGGCTTGCGGCTTGTGGTGGGGATCAGATTCTGAGACTCTCTCCTATTTGCTGCTTGGCCTTGTTAGAGGGGGGATATAGTGACAACTGCTGCTTAGTCCCCAGTAGCTGCTGAGTCCCCTGCAAAGGGCTGAAGATGTCCCTGCTTCCTTCTTGGAACAGACCCTGGGAGAACGGATGACAGGACACCATGATACAGAGGAAGCAGTCCGGAAAAATGTTGGGGGTGAAAATTGAATAACACCATGATTATCATATTTACCATAATTTATCTGATTTTTTTCATATGTTTCTGTGATAGACAGACAGCCGGCCTCTATGATGAACAAGAAAGTAGCCCAACTTCCTAATTTTACTTTTGTATAACTCCTTGTCCAGAACCCTGAACTTAATATTGTACGTGAAGTATTTTTGTCTGTAAAACTACGTAATACCACAGTCCAGCCTGTCAGTTTGACATCTGTTGTGTATGTTTTTCATCTGTTGATGCATTAAACTAACCTACACATGTTTTGGGGGATGGGGTTTTGAATTGTGTATTGACTGCCAACCAGCCATTTCCAACCATTGCTGCAGTACTGCTTTGCTGTCAGTCTAATGTGAATTCCTTCTTAACGTAAAATGGGTATGTTTTAGCTTATTTTCATATATAATTGACTCTTTCAGAAAAAATGCTAAAGTTCAGAAAAGGGGTAAGATAAACTTGATTGGCCGGTTGCAACTCACTACAGAAAGAATGCGAGAAGAGGAGAATGAAGGAATTGTCCAACTAAGAATATTACGAACCCAGGTAAGTAAAGTTTAACAGAGCAATGTAAAACAGTCCCATTTCCATATGCCACCTCCGTTTCTGAGATGTTCTTCCATGAAAAGCTTATTAAACTGGATTCAACCTCACGAAGTCTGCACTGCACAAGGAGTCGGGGTCGTTATGCTGCTTTACCACTCTTGTTTAAAAGTACTTCTTTCTGCACCACTTGAAAAAGGCTGTTTTCAAACTGTATTTCCTTTCAGATTTATTTATTTAGACCAGCGGTTCTCAAACTGGGGGTTGGGACCCCAAAGTGGTCGTGACTCCATTTTAATAGGGTCACCAGGGCTGGAGTTAGACTTGCTGGGGTTGGGCTGAATCCCGGGGCCGAAGCCTGAGCCCAAGGGGTTCAGCCCTGGGTGGCAAGGCTCAAGTTTCATCCCCAGGCAGGGGAGGCCTGTAGTCCTTGGGCTTTGCTGCCTCTCCTACCCCACCCCCCCACACCCTGGGACGGCGGGGCTCCGGCGGGCTCAGGCTTCGGTCCCCCCTCCTGAGATCCTGTAGTAATTTTTGTTGTCAGAAGGGGGTTGCGGCGTAGTGAAGTTAGAGAATCCCAGATTTAGACGCTCATCAGTGTAAGTGTGGGGGGAGGGGGGGATTCAAAATGAGGTGGTTTTTGAAAAGGGTTTACAATGCATGAATTTTTTTTTGGAGGGAAAGTTTCATAAATGTGTTCAATATGGGAACTATGTACTCCACAGCATTGCTCCCAAATGTAAGTTTTCATTAAAAAATATCCAGTCTCTAGCCCTTATGGTTGTGAAGAAAACCTTCAGAATTTGAAACAAATGTGAACTTGTCCACTGAAGTCAGCCTGAAACAATAGCTCTGAAAGGTGTTTGCTGCCCAACTCCAATTTATCTCAGTTAGGTATTAACTCAGAAACAAAAGACTGTGTTATAAATGACAATGTAGTACAACGTATAAATGACTGCTGGTCATTATAGCAGAAACCTCAAGCTAATGTACTTCATTGTTGGATGTAGTGACAAATATTGGGATGGCGTGCAGTGGGGAGCTAGCTGCTATCAAGGGTCAGTGGGGGGTACAAAGTGGGAAATTCAACCTACCCTCCACTCCCCTTCAAATCTAGTGTCTCGTCTCTTCCCCAAAAGAGGGAGACTCATACCCTCCCATTATCAAATGCCTTGGGTGCTTTCTGGGTGTCAAAAAGCAACATTCCCAGTTATTGTTAGGTGCCAATAGCCCATCTGTCCCCTGCTTACCTGCTGAAATCACCTGCTTACCCCGAGGGCATCTATACTGTAGTTATGTATTTTCAATGTAAAAATCTGCAGATTTTTGAAAATAACTAAGTTCTGAACTGTTACCAACTTCTGTATTAAGCCTTTGAAGACTGTACTAGATGATGACTAGATGAGTCAGAAAATCAGCATTAGATATCTAACTTTTCACCTAAGCAATTTGTTTGTATGCAGAACCAATCCGTAGTTAATGAAAGCTGTTACCCATCAGATGGGTATCTGGTAACCTGGGTGAAAGGTGTCGATGGTCTTAATTTATTGTCCAGTTCCCAGAAAGCAGGTGTCCAAATCATAGAAAACATAGCTGTAGTTGATTTTTCTTGTGAGGGCTCTGGGCAGGGATGTCAAAAACTGACTGACTTCTGGAAGCAAAATAAATTTCTTGCTTGTAAAGGGGTTCACTCAGATCAAATTTGAGATTCCGTGATGGGATAGAATGGGGGTGGGATGCTTAGTTTTGACTTACAGGCTCCATTTGAGCCCTGGTGAGTGTCTATTTGTATTTGTTTACAGATAATATCGACCTTCTGTTCTGATGTAACAACAAACTGTCATCTGTAAATGGCAGAGAGCAATGCAATGGGAGTGGACACTTTGTAGTGGGGACAGTGGGATATTGAGTCTCACTCCAGCCAGGGCAGAAGTTCCTGACAAAGATGAAGAAACAATGAATCATGGTTTTAATTTTTCTTTGACTGTTCTATACACAGAATGGGTGAGAGCAGCGTTCTTGTGAAACCAGACTTTAAGTACAAAAAAGAGACATGCTTTCTTCGAGAAGCGTTAAATTATTTCATTTAATTTCTAGAGAAGGTTTAAAAGTACTTCACAAATGTAATAAAAAATGCAGTTCTATAAAAATACATACCCATATGGAAAGTCTCCGAGCTGATAACCCTCACTGGAGTCAGTAGAACTATCATACACTACCCCTTGCAGTGGACTCTCAACATTTTATATTAATTTCAACTTGCAGATTCTTTCTGATCATGATCCGGGATTAGAGCCCCAGGTCACTGCAGCCAGCTGTCTAGCAAACTGTGCCATCTGGGTCCACTTGACATTTTGGCTCTTCTTTCAACAGAAAGCTTGATTTTATGCATGGTCATGGCTAAGCTGATGAAAACTCCTTTTGAGGCTCATGATGCCTGAGAGCTTGTTTTTCAAAGGAAAGATAGTTTTTCTAATGACAATTACTTTTAGCACACGGAGTGAGCGAATGCCTTAGTGGCTGACCCATGTGGTTGTATACCAACCTCAAAGCAGGGTAGCACGATGAATGCCTTCTAAATTCCTTCAAAAGTTGGTGACTGAATTCCATCATAACTCTTAATCATCCTCTCAGCAGTTAACTGTATACTCTCCATCCACCAACCTCTTCATGAAATGTATTCAATATCTGGTTAGGTGAATTAAGAAGGATGGTTGTAGGATGTGACTTTCAGTTCTTACCAAGCTAGCTGACAAATGATTATTCAAAGTATAGATCTGTGTAGCATACTAACTTCAAAGATCTCTACAGTGCAGATCATTCCAAAGTAGTCTGTTTAGAAGCATTCTGTTGTAAGCCCAGAAAAAAACAGCCCTTTTTAATGTTTTCCTCTTAGAGGTTATTAAAAACATGGAGTGTGCCCTTTTTCTTCAGTGAGCGACTGACGGTACTTGGTCCATAACTGATATGGACAATAAAATCATCACTATTCCCATCTTAGATATTTGCTGAACAAAACATGTAGTTTTAAACCAGACTTCATAGGAACATAGAGATTGCCATACTGGATCAAACTTGTAGTCTGTCTAGTTCACTGTCCTGTTTCTGACAGTGGCCAGTGCCAGATGCTTCAAAGGAATGTTAAGAACCCTGCAGTAGGTGAATGTGGAGTATTCTGCTCTCCACATTAGATCTTACCTTGGTCTTTAATAATTTAGAGATGGGTTTAAACCCTGGAGCATGAGGTTTAATATTCCTTCCAAAATCTTTGTTGGCATTACCTATTATAATCTTTGATATTGTTATCCATATAAATTTCCAATCTCTCTTTGAATTTTGCTAAGTTCTTGGCTTCTGCAACTTCGAATGGTACTGAATTCTACAGTCTAATTATTCATTGTGTGGAACAAGTATTTTCTTTGATCAGTTTTTAATTTTTTCCACCTTTTCATTTCCTTGAGTATCACCATGTTCTTGTGTTCCCAAACAACCTTCTGATTACCATTCATTATTTTTTCCAGATGTTAAAGGCTAGTCATCTCACCATTTAATCCACATAGTTATTGCATATCACACTGCTTAAATATGCATATATGTGGAGGGATTTTCTCGTGGTAAGATCCTGCCCTCATTTACACCTGTGCACATCCACTGAAGTCAGTAGGATTGATTGGACATGAACAAAAGCAGAAGTTGGCTCTAGGTTGCTTTTACTAAGGTCTACTATATATACTTTCTTTAGGATCTAATGTTATAACCTGACAGGCTAAATTTCCTATTAGCAACATATTGAGAAAAAAACATTAATTGGTGTTCATCAAACTGAATTGCTCTCTTTCCTTTCCCACAGCCTCCCAATTAACCCTGTGTATTCATTTTGCCACTTGTACCGGATATTTCCAAAAACATTTTCTTTTTTATCCCCCCCTACTAGGAGGCTATTATCCAAATAATGAAAATGCGGAAGAAAATTACTAATGCTCAGCTTCAGACTGAACTGGTAGAAATATTGAAAAACATGTTCTTGCCACAAAAGAAAATGATAAAAGAGCAAATTGAATGGCTTATAGAGCACAAATATATCAGAAGAGATGAATCGGATATCAACACCTTCATATACATGGCATAATTTGAAGACTCTGTAAGATGCCAAGAACACAAATTGAAGGGTGCTTGGGCAGACAGCTGCAACAGTTTTTTGTGCTGGAGAAGGACTCATTTTGACTTTCATTACATATTAAAATCCCTGCCTTATCTTACAAGAGGACTATATTTTGCCAATCTCATTCAGCTAGCATGATGGCATTCCCTTCATGTTGCACACTTTAACAGCATGTTGTTTTGTGGGAAACTTGCATTTATGAAGAGCCCATTGTGAGCTTTTTAAAGTAGATTTGATTTACACCCACCAAGAAGAATACAGGTTTGGGTTTTTAGATGAACAGTACTTGCACACAAAAAAAGACCTTCAAATACTCATGCACTGAGAAACTGCTATTAAGTTTGTTTTTGTTTTTAAATGCAATTAGGACTAGAAGTAGCACTTTCACTTTGTGTTTTGGATCAACAGAGTAAATGTACTGTCCACCTTTGGTGATCCTTTTTATGTATAACATTTGAGAGAGACACAGATGCATCACAACAGATATGTATTTGTTACAGTAACAACCTGTTGGCTCAAGCAGTGCTTCAATATAGTAACTGGATTTTAATATTGACATACAAGTGACATAAAAATATTTCCAACTTGTGGATGTTGTTTTTCCTTAAGCAGGAGATCATTGTTTTATATTGTTTGCTGTAAACATATGGATAGACATTGCTTATCTTATCTGAGCAAATGGTTTATTACAATCCTTTTGAAAGGTGAAGCTTTCTTCCCCATATCTGTTTCATGGCTGCGTCTGTTATAGTGAACAGAAATATTAAGTGTATTCCCTTGTACATTTAATATTTGTATTCCATATGTTTGAATATAACTAACTACATAAATCTGAAGGCATTAAAAAGTAACTGATCCACAAGTCCCTTATGAGAAGAAAACCCTTTGCAATTTCTGTACACATACAGTAGCATCATATCCGGGTATTCCAATGGCTTTATGTTTTAGGGTTTAGACTCTTAGTTGCCTAAAAGTCAATCTCCTTTAAAATAAATAAATATATAAAGCAGCAACTGCCTATTGATTTGAAGTGAGCAGGAGATAAAGGGTGTAGCTAAAGGAGACCTGCAAAGGTTTAAGGAAGAAAAAACTCCCAGTTTTTGTGTGTGAAGAGAGATTGTCAAAATTCCTGATGTGTATTTGGCAAATTTTAAATGTTACATCTTTCTTCAGCCATGTTAAGTAGCCTCTTGGTAATATCTAACTCCTTCTCAAATGTTCCAGTGTTTATTGGACTGATGACATCAGTACTGCTGGAGCAGAGAATCTGCCTTGGGGGGGTGGGAAGGTAAGTCAGCTTTTATTCAGTGTCATGTGAGTACTCTTAGTTAAATGCTATCAGGCAGCCTTGCAAAAACTGCTCTGAAAATTTACCAACCCAGGCACAAAATCTACTTGTTTTCTTTTGATGATCGATAATGGGGGGGGACCCCTTAATTTTACACACTCTTCCAAAAAGAACCAACCTTTCCCTAGGTGAGTGGGGAACTGAATTTTGCATGGTTGCTGTAATGCATAAAATAAGAGCACCTTACAAAAAAAGAAGTTGTGGGGATGGTCTTTTACTGCCTTAAGCCGACTGTGGGCTTGTTGACACTTAAAATGCTGCTGCTGCATGCCTGCGCTGCTGCAGCACTTCAGTATAGACACTACCCACACCATCGAGAGGGATTCTACTGTTTGTGTAGGTAATCCACCTCCCCGAGAGGCAGTAACTAGGTAGACAGAAGAATTTTTCTGTCAACCTAGCTCTGTTTCCAGTGGGGGTTAGGTTGGTATAATGGTCTCTGAAGTGTGGATTTTTCACATGCCTGAGAGATGTAGCTGTACTGATGTGAACTCCTAGTGTAGACCAGGGCTGTGTCCTACCACTGAAGTATGTGCCAGTGCTAGTTCCTTAGAACAGTGCATATTTGACATCTTGCTGAATAAGACATCTTCAGCTCCAGGAAGGCTTCATGGACATGCAAGAGAGCGAGAAAAACTGATATGTGGCAATATAAAACTCTGATTGAAATCTCACTGCATATATTTATATGCCTTTATTGATGCTTATAAATGAGAGCGGATACTGTGAAAACGTATTTCACCTTTAAGGTAGCATGGAAACATCAGATTCTTAGCCCTAAAATGTTGCTATTCAGAATTAAAAGTAAATGGTGCTCTCTGTATTTTGCCAGTAACACACATGCCAACATTTTAAATTTAGAAAACTAAAATTAGTTTGTTCTAAGAATAGAAATCTTTTTGTATGGTGCCACAAGATTTTCAGCATTTGTAATTTGATATTAAGAAGAAGAAATGCTCATTTGGGAATAATTGGGAAATGGCGAACAAGCCAGAATTTTAAAATAATTCTATTATGATGATCTGAGCACTTATTTTGAATATGTAACAGTTTACAGCATTAAATCAGCGAATAATAGCCATGAAGTATTGTCACACACAAGCAAGTTAAATTTAAAAATGGGCAATACTAATTTCTAAGCCCTAACCAAAATCTAGGAGACAACTTTGAGATTGACTTTCATAAACAATTATGTCCCAGTTCATTTTGCATCCAGACAGCAACAAACTTTTAAATGCTAGTTATTTATATTTCTCCCTTCCCCTCCCACTAGCATATACTAAAATTATAGCCTGTGTCATTATTTGGATGAGGGGAATTTGTAATTAACAGCATATCTATAACATTGTTACATTTTCCTTAGGTTTATATTTAAAAATAGATGTTTTTTAAAAAAAAAAAAACTTGAATCTGAGAATCACACCAGCAACTTCCTAAAGATGCAGAATCACATTTAGCATCCTTCATCAGGTTACTTTCACAAACATGCATTTAAAGCTAATATTATCTGAGGCATAGGTAGATACTTGCAGTAACGTGTTTTGGGAATGGGAGGAATTCCGATCTAAATAAAAATGAGATTCTTCACTTGCAATATGGCAACAATGCACTTTTAAAGCTGAAGTTTAGCAATGACTATACATCTCCAAAGACCTAGCTTAAAGAGGTGCTGCATCTGAAACACATGGTGCCACTCACGGTGTCACAGTGAATAGGTATGGAGTAAACTGACTACAGAAGCAAAAATACAGTTTATCACATTCTTAATGTCTCCTTGAATTAAGAAACATTGTTAAATCCTCCTCTGTCCCAGTAACTTAATGAAGATCTCAGTTTTAATTCTGAAGTCTTCCATTTTTATCTTTCCACTGTTAGTGTCCATAGCTTCTGTTTAGTCATCTAATTCTCTTGCACTTGTTTTGAGCATAATACACTTACATTTAAAAAACAAAACAAATGGTTTTCTTGTTTTCACCTTTTCTTAAATGTGTAATATGTTCTGAATAGTCAACATTTTACATTTATTTGCATTGGGATGTCATCCTGTAAGATGCAAATTTTAAAAACACAATGGGGTGAAAGATATAGTTTTACAGAAAGATTTGCTGTCTTAGACTCAAACAGTTTTCTATTTTCATCTAAATGACTGGGATGCTCTCTTTGTAAATTCAAGGTCATGAAATATTCTTTGTGAAATAAACAATACATGAAAGCTTTCCTGTCATATACACTATATGTAGTCTGGTGTGTTGAGCAAGCTTGAGTTCCTAGGTTGTAATATCTATCTACATATGGTATTTACAATTTTGAATGTGTGCCACTACATACTGAGATGATAATGCTGTACAATTTTGAATGGTAGCAGTTTCTTTATGGCAGTCCGGCTAAACTATTTTGATGTACTGCTTAATTTTTGAATTTTATTTTTTAAGTTGTATAATTTATTTTCTTGCAAAATAAAAATGTAATATAAAAGACTATTCATTTTAGCAAGATATGTTGGTGTCCTCCCCTGCAAATTTTTTAATGAGCATAGTACTCTTTCCTAGTTATTATAGTAGAAATACCACCGTGTGTGAAATCCACCTATTCTAAATTCCAGTGTATATTACAAGGTGAGCAGAGGATCAAAAGATACAATGAAACGGTTTTCAGTCCTCCTTTCTCACCTGTGTAATTTGATTTAAGTGTGTGGGTGTATGTACATAGAGACGGATCTTTTGCTGTCCTTTTTTATGCTATATGTTAAATTCCTTTTTAAAGGTGAAATGTAAATCTAAAATGAAAGGTAATTTAAACCAAGAAATGCCGGCTGAATACCCTCGGTAACAGTGTTGCTCAGGAGTATACAGCACACAAATGTTGTGATTCTTTTAAAAAAATTTGTATATATCCATGAAATTCTCTGGCACATCTTTGTTAAATACCTCCCAGAATAAATCACTTTGTGAAATCACTGATACCATTAGTTCACTGATTGCATCATACTAGAACTATCTATCAGTGATGTCACCAAATTATGCAAGGTGATGGAACTTTCTGGAAGCTAATACTGTATAAACAAACTAAGGTGAAGGAAAACTTTCAACCAAGGTATTGATTCTGCTGTGACTTTCCTCTTTGACTTTCCTTGCCTTCTTTTTATTATGTTACAATTCTTATATTTCAGCTTTTTTGTATTTAAGGTGCACAGAGTAAATTTAGAATGTTTTGTGCCTTCTGATATATGCAAAGATTATTCTTTCTATGGAATAAATACTATTTTTGAATGACTATTCAGTGCTCATGGCAGTTTTCAGACTGGCAACCCTTGCAGACAGACAGCTTCCTCATACCATACTGCCAATGTTTCTCAATCCTGGTCACAAGAACTCAATGCAAAGGGTAAGTACAATCAGTTGCCATGTCCCACAAATCCTTGGGAGGGCGCTTCCGCTCCCACTTGCAGTAAGGAAAGTAGTTGTGATGATGGTCTTTGTGAAATGTGTCCACAAGAAATAAATAAGACAAACAACTCTTACAGAAATTAATTGTGTATCATTGGGTGGTAACTTCTTCAGCTTCTGCCAGCTTGAACCAATGACTTAAAGGTGAAAGGCTTTTTATCTATTTCAGTCTTCTGATCTATTTAGTTCCCTATTATGTTCAATTATGATTTTATCCATTAACATGTCTCCTGTTTATATTCATGTGGGGGGGAGGGGGAGGTAAAATAACTTCCTATGGTGAGGCTGAAAGAGAATCTTCTGTTGTTCTGTAGCTATCTTTTGTCATGTGACCTTTCCATTTCTCCTGGTTTCCTGCCTTAATTTCATACTTGGTCATTCTAGCTTCTGAAATCTCCCATGTAACGTCAATTGGATAATGTGAGCCAGATCCTGGGACATAATCTGGAAAGTACATATCACAAGCTGAGGGGGCAGGGTACTGCCCTCCGCTGATTCTGGGCCTGCTCTGTGCAAGGCCAGGCTCCAGAGACAAGTGTAGAGTCTACTCCAACTTATGCCAGCTTTTAACAGCCCCGAGGGAGCCACAACCCTGGAAGTGGATAGTGTAGGAGACACTATGCCACCAAATGATGCATAAGGGTTGTATTCCCTTGCCTAGTTTTGCTGGCTTGATTGGCCAGAATCTGTCATTAGTGCTGTGCAGCCCAGGATCTGACCCTTTATGACTTCCATTCCCTTTACTTTCATTGGATCGATGCTGCATTCAGAAATAGTGTTGCCAGTGATGATGGATATCTTAATATGGGAAATATTTAAAATATCCCATATTAAATGTTGCATAAAGTTTTTATGCAGAAAGTAATCATATACAGGTAAAATAATTATTCTCTTACTTGAAATGCTATTTTGATGTCTTGTCTTCTCTGCTTTCATTTTTAGAAGGTTTGGGGAATACTCTGTGATGCATATCATACTCACTGAATAGTCATCAAGTGGAGAATTTCACCCTTTTTGCCTTCTAATTTATTCCTCTGTTACTCACTGTACTAGTAGTAATCCTAGTAAAATGACATGCACAGCTCAGATCCCAGTGTAAACTAGTCTTTTATTTGAGAAGTCTGTCTTGTTGCTTAAGTCTTTGGTTTACAACCAGTGGAGTGCTCAGATAACTTTATTTATTTTTTTAAATATAATGATGTCTTGTGTCTTATCTTCTGGGCCACGGAACTGCTATCCATTCGGCAGAAAACACTGATACATTATTGATACCCTTGCTCGCCTTTTGGCCAGGTACGGCATGTTTACTCAATGTATCCTGACTCATGTTTTTTTCAGACTAGGAGGGCAAAAATCATTCTAGTGTGGGCAAGAGACACAGTTATCCATAATGTTTGTGACTTTGATTAAAATACATTCATGTGAGAGAAACATTTTATAAGTTTATCATGTTTTTCATGAGTGCAGTCAACATTGCTAAAGGAA